TTGTTGACAACTCCAACCACGTCACAGCCCAGTGACCACCACTGCACTAGACCAGTGGTGAGGTATTACAACAGCCTTTCTAGATTCTCTAATCAGGTTAGTCTGACCCCCCTGACCTGTCTGCTGTTAGCTTGACCTGCAACCCCTCCCATTGTCTTCATGCTGCAGCTCACTGACCCGCTCACCAGCGTGTGTGTGTGTGTGTGTGTGTGTGTGTGTGTGTGTGTGTGTGTGTGTGTGTGTGTGAGGGGGAGGACTAATGATGAGTTCAGCGTAATGATAATCGGTATTTATCTATCCTTTGCACAATTTACAAGATTTTACCCCCACTGTGTTTTTGTGTTTTTGTGTGTTTGTGTGTGTGCCTTAATCCTTAAACGGGTAGTTTGGGATTTTGGAAATGAAGCCCCTTCTACTTTCCCAGAGTCAGATGAACTCATGTATACAATTTTTTTGTATCTGTGTTCAGTTTAAAGGAAGTTGCTAAATAGCGTTAGCGCAATTGCTAATTAGTGTTACAATCCCTTTAACCCTACTCACAGAAACACAAATAGATGAGAGCTGCTGTATGAAAATTAAATCCTGTCTCCCTGCCAGGGCACAGTGCATCAGTCCACCTGCATCATCTCTCAGTACAGCTACAATACAAATGCACGCCTGCTTGCACAATGACAACTGCTTGTGTGTACACCCACCCCTGTGCTCTTTGCCCTCTCTTATCCCTGACAGTTTGCATCCATATTAAGATCTACTCCAGAACAACCAAGACTATTTCAGCAATAAAGTCTCATTTGGGGTTATTAGCCTGAGTCTGGGGCTCGTTACTATGAACAGCTTAATGACATTACCACTCTCAGGGCTTTTAAACCGTAGAATTAGAATTGATAGAACAGACATTATCCTTCTAATCAACCGTGCCTGGTGGGTGTACCATATTTGATACATATCGTTTGGAATGTTGGGTCAAATGATGTGGAACTGCTGCGGTCATGGTACTGTAAGTAGGCTATCATTGTTGCATGCAGCAGCTGTAGTGACTAACTGAAAAATGTGTGTATAGCTACTAGCTAGCTAATGTAGCCTAGTTAACTGTTGGCAGATACAAGTTACTTATGAGCAGTTACTTTTGTTCCAGCCTTACTGTAACGCACCTGTTTCTCCTAAGCTCGATCCATGCTAATTCTATGTTTTAAACACTTACAGAAGAGAGATCCACAGAGCCTGAGTTAGATGCTAGAGCTAGACGAACATCAGACCACTCTACTTCTGTAAGTGACTGACTCCTAGGACCTACTGCTGTAAGTGGAACATAATCAGTTTTTTCAATTACACTCCATTTCTAATGACTTATTTCCCCCAAATGATGTCATTAAGGACCGAACATCGCACAAATGCCTGTGTTCTTAAAGAGGATGGGTAAAACTGCAGATATTTATGTCAGATTATAATTAGATCTAATACTTGTCTAAAACCAAAACCAAGGAAGGAGGTAGAGGGAGAGGGGAAGAAAGAGAGGGAAGGAAGGAGGAGGAGAGGGGAAGAAAGAGAGGGACAGAGAGAGGGGAAGAGGGGAAGACAGAGGGACAGAGGGAGGGGGAGAGGGGGAGACAGAGAGGGACAGAGGGAGGGGGAGAGGGGGAAGACAGAGAGGGACAGAGGGAGGGGAAGAGGGGGAAGACAGAGGGACAGAGAGAGGGGAAGAGGGGGAAGACAGAGGGACAGAGGGAGGGGGAGAGGGGGAGACAGAGAGGGAAAGAGGGAGGGGAAGAGGGGAAGACAGAGAGGGACAGAGGGAGGGGGAGAGGGGGAAGACAGAGAGGGACAGAGGGAGGGGGAGAGGGGGGAGACAGAGAGGGACAGAGGGTGGGGGAGAGGGGGAGACAGAGAGGGACGAAGGAGGAATGGGGGAGAGGGGAAGACAGAGAGGGACAGAGGGAGGGGAAGAGGGGGAGAGGGGAAGAAAGAGGGAGCGAGGAAGAGAGGGAAGAGGCAGGGAAAGATAACTAACTAGCTCTCACAGTCTCACGTCAAAATTAGACTTTAATCCATGCTTCTCAAATGTAAAATGTTGAAGTTGTTGGAAACGTCAAATTTCAAAGTGTTTACGGTTAAGATTAGGCATTAACTCCGAATTAAAGGTTAGGGTTAAGTTTAGGCATTATCTCCTAAATCGCTGGATTCAAACTTGCAACCTTTAGAATCAGAGGCAGATGCTTACACCCATCCGCCTTCCCCGTCCACAACACAAAATCTACTTGAAGGTAACAGTCCTCACTGTTGCCCCTAGTGGCTGGTTTCCACATCATCTCCCGACATCCTCAGACATGGATGAACGTCGAATACTGACTTGTATCATGGGTGACCTGGCTGGAGATACCAATAAGCACCACTTAGGCTCTTTGATCTCAGTCTCCAGACTGAACATTCAGCTTTTGCAATATACACATGCACGCAAGCATGCACACACGCACACACACACAATCTTTGATAGTCTCAACAGTTACAGAGAGACATTTCTCATTCATAATCTGGTTGTTTCTTATCTCTGTCTGGAGAGCCCTGTTGTATTATTATGGTAGTGTAACTGAACATTCCTCTAGGAGCTTGTGATAGGGTGATTCATCTCCACTGTGTTTGTGTAACAGATGGATCAGGGGCCTCTCCACTCCCCCTCTTCTCCTTTCAGCACTCTCTAACACAGGAGAGGAAGGGTTAAGGAGGAACGGACCTTCAAAGGAGCTGTGTGCTTAACCCCGACCCCAGAGAGAGAAAGAGGGAGAGAGGGAGAAAGAGGGAGAGAGAGACGTAGAGAGTAAGAGTGTGTTTACATTTTGGCTGTGACAAAGTCTTGCAGAGAAAGCTGGGGAAAGTCAAGCTGACACACACACACGCAAGTGCACATGTTTCTCTACCATACACTGTGTGTGTCTGAGTGTCTGTTTGTGTTGTAACGGTCTCATCCTTTCCCTGAGCTGTGAGCAGGTGTGAGGAGTCCTTAACCCCACTGAGGAGCAGAAACACGACACCTTAACGAGAATCACTGCAGAGGAAAGAGAGAGGGACAGAGAGTGAGATGGAGGATCACCAACACTCCTCATGGTGATGCCCGCTCCAGCCCAGTCAACCCCACTCCTCTCTGGGCAGCAGGTCATCTGTGTGAGGGGGTACAGCTGGAGGAGACTGGAGAGGCCAAACAAACTGTCAGAGATAAGAGAAAACACACACACATAGCTGCACTCGAACTAGACTACTCTGTTTAACTTCACCTCCTTTATCAACACAGCTCAGCTCACCACATACTGGAAGTGTTCTTTAACCTGCACTGTAGGAGCTACTCCCTACTCAGCCTTAGTGTGTGTGTGTGTGTGTGTGTGTGTGTGTGTGTGTGTGTGTGTGTGTGTGTGTGTGTGTGTGTGTGTGTGTGTGTGTGTGTGTGTGTGTGTGTGTGTGTATGTATGTGATGCACGTCTCTTCAGAAGGAACATAAACATGACAACAGATTGAGTTATTCCAAATACTCTTCAAATGTATTTAAGTTCTGTAAATACATTTGTGCATATATACACATCAGAACAGAAAAAGTAATAAGCCATTTATTACAACCATGTTAAATATTGTATTCAAAAGGAAATGACAGGAGATGGGATGGAGGAAAGCAAATAAAATTAACTTCAATGAGAAACAAACAGCTTGAACAATTCAACCAACAATGTGTCATTTCACGATCTTACAACAAAACCAGCCAATATCTCGAGGCCAATAAATACTATAAACAATAACAATACAATAAAGTACAAACACTTCTCAAATGATCACAGGACGTCTCTTTTTAACGCATTGCTTTCACACAAACACACGCATGCTGGCGCGCACACACACACACACACACACACAGGAATGACTCTCGCTCTGCACATACAGTGCTTCTGTACTGATCCTCTGTGAACCAATATGAACTCTTCTTATGTTAGTGCAAAACACCAGGCCATCACCTGGTTCCAACTAATGCACCCACTGACTCTCAAGGAAAATAAAACGACAACTAGACAAGAACAATAATCATATGATGTCTATGTGTAGGAACAAAAATATGTTTTACATTGTGACTATAAATATGACTCCCTTCTACTGGCTTGAAAGGGGCGAGGGCTAGAAACACAGACGGAGAGAGAGGGGTAGAGAGAGAGAGAAATGTAGTGTTGATCAAGTGTTTATTGGTCAGTTCGGGGTAAAGGAGAGTGTTGATTGATTGGTCAGTTCAGAGAAACGGAGAGTGTTGATTGGTCAGTTCAGAGAAACTGAGAGTGTTGTTTGGTCAGTTCAGGGGTAAAGGAGAGGTCAGCAGTGACAGCTGCATGATGATGAGATGTGCGTATAGCCAAAATGCAATGGGAGTGTGTACAGTTCTTCTGCCAGGCGGCTGCCTCTAAACAAGATCTCTGTGTTTGTGAGTGTGTGTGTGCAGGTCTTCCTCCCTGCAGCCTGGTGTAAACTAACAGTTTATCTCTCTTCTGCTCTGCCTGTGGCCACCGCAGCCCCTCTCAGCCGACATTAACTCACAGGAGCCCTGAGCTGAGCTGACACTTACAAAGATTAGAAATATGGTTTCGTCTGTTGGGTCACAGGGATTTCGGTGGGTCACAAACCAACTGGGAACCATGGCCACAGAGAGACAGTCTCACTTCTTCAGGGGACAGGGTGACAGGGTGACAGACAGGTCACATACTGTATTAAAAACAGTCTCAGGAATGAAGCTCGGAACATTTTAGCTGATGGCATCATCTTTCTCTCTGTCCCTCTAGTGAGAGTGCTTATCCACCAAGTTCCTCTAACATCAGTTCCTTCCAGAGCGGTCCCAGTCAGAGGGGGATGGAATTAAACGTAACACACAGACGATCCAAGGGAAAGACACAACTGGCCAATGAAATCTCTTCACACATCAAAGAACAACACCTCACATAAATAGAACCCCAAGCCTTTCCCCTACACCTGTGGTCCAATCAGGTGGGCTCGCTCCACTCTGGGACCCCTCCCATGACGTGTGTGTGAAGGGTGTGGTAGTGGGGAGGAGATGGGGAGGAGGGGTAGCGGTGGTATTCTCTGAGGGGTGGGCTGGGGCTCAGCTGAGCGTTCTGGGGACTGGAGGAGTAGGGCTGGTGGGGGAAGGTTGTGTAGGGGTCAGTAGGGGTCATGGGGGCCATGTCAGGAGTCAAAGGGCAGCTGTAGGACCATGATGTACAGCTGAGGTTGTCCAGTCTGGACTCTGAGCCAGCAAACATACACGCCTGCCGCTGCCCCGCCTCTGACCTGTAGGTGGAGTCAGAGAGACCAGGGGGAGGGGGATGGACGGTGGGAGGGAGAGGGGGAGGAGGGTAAGCAGACGGGTGATAGTAAGACTCGTCGTTGCTGGGAGAACTGTCGATGTAGGGCTTCCTGTACTGGTGATTCTCTGCTGTAGAACAGCTATCAACCGCTGTGAGAGAGAGAAAGAGAGAGGTGTAAGATTGAGTAATACACTATAAAAGGGACTGGTCTTCCGCGAGCAACGACAATCATAGAAACAAAACACGCCAGAGACAAAGAGGCAATACAAACTGCTCCAGTGTCTAGAGTGACAGTAATCGGACAAATGCAGCATAGCGTACCTTTTCTCTTGTTGCAGTGCATGTGTTCGTGTGGGTCTGGTTGGGGGAGGGTGTAGGGTGCTGGAGGGGGGATGAGGAGGTCCTGGGTGGTGCTGCTCACCCCATTCTCACAGGAATAGGGGTGCAAACCCAACCCCCTCGCATTCCCCCCAAACAGACTCCCACTAGGACCCACCCTCTGACGCACTGAGCTACGAGGAACAACCGGATACTCCTTACTGAAAGACAGAGAGAGAGCAAGAGAGAGGGGGGGGGGGGGGGGGGGGAGCAATATATTATTTGCAACACATTTCAAATAATATTTTAGTCCAAGCACAGTAAAGAGACAGGTCTCCAGTACTAAGAAAACTCAACTACCACCCACTGGGCACACACTGGTTAAATCAACCTTCAATGTAATTTGTCAACATATTGTGACGTGGAATCAATGTGGAAAATACATTGGATTTGAAAAAAGTAATCAACCAGTATTGTTTTCATCTAATTTCAACCAGCATTATAAACATTTAAATTAGGGTAAAACTTTAACCTAAATATATTGACTTAACCTGACTAACAGGTTGTTACATCAATCTAATTTCAACATAATCATCAGAAATATGTATACGTTTAAATTGCGTGAAAATTTCCACATTTTGTTGAATACCTAGCGACACGTTGAAATTATGGTGTCCTTTGTTGGGCAAATCAGATGTCAATGTAGCCTACATAAACTCAACCTCACTCCAAATGTACTTTCACATACAGCTTGTGTAAAAAGGGTTAGAGGAGTTACGTTATTTAGGTGGTCTACGCAAATGAGTATGGAAGCTGATCAATGTCTCAATGTGTTGACATGATAGCTCAGCTGAAACGAACACAGGTTGTTTCCAAAGCTAAGCAGGGTACATAGAGGTAGGCATCTGGATGGTAGACTTGTTATCACTGAAGTGCATTACCCCTCATATACCAGTAGAAGTCACTGTTCAGGCAGAAATCGTTGGACTGTGGCTTCACATTATATTTCAATATACCTCTTTATTTAGGTTGATTCAAACATAACATTTTACTATCAACATTGAAACATGGTCAAATAAAATACTTCTAATTAAATAAAAAATGCAACATACTTTCAACCATTCATTGAATATAGGATGAAAAATATTTTTTACTTTTCTATGTGGAATTTTAAACTCAATTTCAATGTATACATAGTTGGAATTAGATTGATGTAAGAATCTGTTAGTCAAGTTAAGTCAATGTATTCAAGTTGAAGTTTTACCCTAATTTCAATGTTTATAATGCTGTTTGAAATTAGATAAAAACAGTACTGGTTGATGATTCTTTTTAAATCCAATGTATTTTCCACATTGATTCCACGTCACAATACGTTGACAAATTACGTTGAAAGAACATTGATTCAACCAGTGTGTGCCCAGTGAGCAGATATATTAATATATTTTAGGCCAAACAATCTAATTAATGTAGATGTGAAAATATTGTCTAAGCTGCTTGCCAAAATATTACACAAGATTTTACTTCCACCTGTTCTTCAATATACTGTATATTTCCATACTTGTGTCTATGCCTTATGATTCAAAAACCTCAATTCACACTCAGTATTGCGTTCTTTTTGTAGTCTCCCTCCCAGTTTGATGATTATTTGTCTATTATACACTTGCATGTTATGATGTCATTGTATTGTTCTCTGTAGGCCCTACTCTATTTATGTCTAAATGTTTTCTGCTAGTTTTGACTGCCTGCTGTACAGCAAATATCCCCTCTGGTAAAATAAAGATTTTCTCTACTCTCTTTCTCTTGTACACTGGCCTCTCGGTGGCCTCAGTGGTATGTAGGGGACAGTGGTCTGTGGCACTCTACCTCTCATCCTGCTGTGACACACCCACACACACATGCACGCACACACACACACACACACTGTGCTGAGAGATAATATACTACTCTAAAAATAAACTCTCAGCCTCATGCCACTTCAGATACACTCTCTCCCTCATCTCTCTCTCTCTGCTCTCATCGTCTCTCTCTGTCTCCCTAACACCACAGTCCATTCCCTCTTCTTTTCACATCCCTCAGTCTTCACCTAGAGCAGAACAGTGACTCAGGAAATAACTCTCCAGTCCTCCCTCCTCATCCGCTCTCCTCCCCTCCTCCTCCTAAGTTAGTCTATCTGAGAGGAGACTTAACCCTCAAACTGCCTCACACAATATGCACAAAACAGACTGTCCCTTTCAGACGGGCTGGAGCAAAAGTCTGAGAGAGAGAGAGAGAGAGAGAGGGGAGGAGGGAGAGAGTGGGAGAGAGAGTGAGAGAAAGAGAGAGAGGGAGAGAGAGGGAGAGAGAGACGAGGAGGGAGAGAGTGGGAGAGAGAAAGAGAGAGAGGGAGGGAGTCTGTACTCACCCCTGTATCTTAGCCATGCGGTGCAGCTCCATGTCATCACTGCCTCTGAAGCCCTTAGCGAACGGGTTGTTCTCTATCTTCAGCTGGGTGATCTGACAGGGACACAACACTGCCTTAGATCACTAAACACCCTGCCCAGTCCTGTGTGTTACTGTACTGATCCATGAGAAACTAAATGTTGAATCTGGACCTGAACAGTTGCTCGATTCTGGGATTCTGGAACACAACATGGACATTCCACAGACACTGACCATGTTCTGAAAGCATTCATTTAGAACCTGCAGAATCACAGTGTGATTTCCCTAAACAGTCGGCAGGTTTAAAGATGGAATCCGCATTAGGAAAAACAGCGCCACTGTCCGCCCCAGCACCTTTGTTATTGTTTTGTGGACAAAACAGAGGTGAGGTGCGTCGAGCAGTGTGGAAAAAAAAAAATTGCAGTGCATATTCTGCTGTTCTATCGCATGTGCAATGATGTCTGAAGGGGAAAAAACTAAACAATGTTTGTTGTTTGTAGTAACTTCTTTGTTGTTGTAATATCCCAAATGAACGTAGCAGTTTCACCACTAAGGATTCCAGCTTTAAAGTCCTTAAGCCAAATATAGTGGTTCTTGGAACATTTGGGGTGAAAAATATGTATTTTAATTGACAACGACACGGTGGGAAACTTGCCGTTGGTTTGTGTTTTTCTTGTTAGGTGTGGTGATGTGTTTATCACAGTGCACGTGGGCTTTCACTATAGAGCTCTATAAATGCCAACAGGAATAGAATTAAACTGGCCTCCTGAGTGGAGCAGCGGTCTAAGTCAGTGCTTGAGGTGTCACTACAGACCTGGGTTCGATCCCAGGCTGTGTCACAACTGGCCGTGACAGGGAGTCCCATAAAGTGGCGCACAATTGGCCCAGCGTCGTCCGGGTTATGGGAGGGTTTGGCTGGCGGGGTCTTTACTTGGCTCATCGCACTCTAGCTACTCCTTGTGGTGGGCTGACTTCGATCGTCAGTTGAGCGGCGTTTCCTCCAACACATTGGTGCAGGTGTTAAGGAGTGCGGTTTGGCGGGTCATGTTTCGGAGGACGCATGACTTGACCTTCGCCTCTCCTGACCCGTTGGGGAGTTGCAGCGATGAGACAAGATTGAAAAAGGGGGAAAATGCTAAAAATAAATTGAATTAAACAATTTTGAATTTGTGTTCAGGATTCAATTTGAATTCAATAGTTTAGAATTGTGTATTGCACATACAGTACCAGTCAAAAGTTTGGACACACCTACTCCTTCTAGGGTTTTTCTTTATTTTTACTATTTTATACATTGTAGAATAATAGTGAAGACATCAAAACTATGAAATAATACATATGGAATCATGTAGTAACCAAAAAAGTGTTAAACAAATCAAAATATATTTTATATTTTATATTCTTCAAAGTAGCACTTCATCACTCTCCTTCTTGGTCAAATAGCCCTTACACAGCCTGGAGGGGTGTTGGGTCATTGTCCTGTTGAAAAACAAATGATAGTCCCACTAAGCGCAAACCAGATGGGATGGCGTATTGCTGCAGAATGCTTTGGTAGCCATGCTGGTTAAGTGTGCCTTGAATTCTAAATAAATCACTGACAGTGTCACCAGCAAAGCCCCCCCACACCATCACACCTCCTCCTCCATGCTTCACGGTGGTATCCACACATGCGGAGATCATCCGTTCACCTACTCTGCGTCTCACAAAGACACACCGTTGGGAACCACATTTGACTCCAGACCAAAGGACAGATTTCCACCGCCTGTGTTTCTTGGCCCAAGCAAGTCTCTTCTTATTATTGGTGTCCTTTAGTAGTGGTTTCTTTGCAGCAATTTGACCATGAAGGACTGATTCACGCAGTCTCCTCTGAACAGTTGATGTTGAGATGTGTCTGTTACGTGAACTCTGTGAAGCATTTATTTGGGCTGCAATTTCTGAGTCTGGTAACTCTAATGAACTTATCCTCTGCAGCAGAGGTGACTCTGGGTCTTCCTTTCCTGTGGCGGTCCTCATGACAGCCAGTTTCATCATAGCGCTTGATGGTTTTTGCGACTGCACTTGAAAAAACTTTCAAAGTTCTTGACATTTTCCGTATTGACTGACCTTCATGTCTTAATGTAATGATGGACTGTCATTTCTCTTTGCTTATTTGAACTGTTCTTGACATAATATGGACTTGGTCTTTTACCAAATAGGGCTAATTTCTGTATACCACCCCTACCTTGTCACAACACAACTGATTGGCTCAAATGCATTAAGAAGGATAGAAATTACACAAATTAACTTTTAAGAAGGCACACCTGTTAATTTAAATGCATTCCAGGTGACTACCTCATGAAGCTGGTTGAGAGAATGCCAAGAGTGTGCAAAGCTGTCATCAAGGCAAAGGGTGGCTACTTTGAAGAATCTCAAAATTAAAATATATTTTGATTTGTTTAACACTTTCTTGGTTACTACATGATTCCATACGTGTTATTTCATAGTTTTGATGTCTTCACTATTATTGTACAATGTAAAAATAAAGAAAAACCCTGGAATGAGTAGGTGTGTCCAAACTTTTGACTGGTACTGTAATTTGAACTTGTGTTTCAGTGTGTGTGTGTGTGTGTGTGTGTGTGTGTTTGAGTGAGTGAGTGAGGAGAGAGAGAGAGAGTGAGAGAAACTACAGGTAACTGCCAAAATAAAGGAAACACCAACATAAAGTATTTTAATAGGGCGTTGGGCCACCACGAGCCGCCAGAACAGCTTCAATGCGCCTTGGCGTAGATTCTACAAGTGTCTGGAATGCTATTGGAGGGATGCAACACCATTCTTTCATGAGAAATGCTATCATTTGGTGTTTTGTTGATGTTGGTGGAAAACGCTGTCTCAGGCACCACTCCAGAAACTCTCATAAGTGTTCAATTGGGTTGAAATCTGGTGATTGACACACATACACACACACCATTTAAACCCCCCTATGCTCCTTTGAGACCCCTCTTTCAAAGTCAGTGAGATCTCTTCTTCTAGCCATGGTAGCCAAAATATTGGGCAACTGGGCATTTCTATACATGACCCTAAGCATGATGGGATGTTAATTGCTTAATTAACTTAGGAACCACACCTGTGTGAAAGCACCTGCTTTCAATATACTTTGTATCCCTCATTTACTCAAGTGTTTCCTTTATTTTAGTAGTTACCTGTGAGAGCGATTTCTCTATGGTGCTGGAACCATAACAGATATGATCAAAGGAAAGGAACAGGTCAGAGCTGCCCTGTGACGCGTAAACACTGTGACGTAATCAAACTGGACATGCTGAAATGAGAACAGTGATGCACTGATTCACATGGCTAACACAAAACAATATACCCATAAGACAACTCTGGCCTGCACAACAGGACCTGGACAATTTTACTTTATCTATGAAAAAATAATCCTGAAATATCTGATAAAATAAGATATTTTGGACCCCTTCCGACACGTCAGTCCTCAACCTCTCTACCCGAATACAAAATTTGACTTTTTGAAAAAGAAAAATCATAATTATTTTGTGTGTTCAGTGTTTCGGTACCTTGTGGTTCTGGTATGATGTCACGGCAATGAAGGCGGTCTCTGAGAACACGTGCGTGCAGAAGGCGGTGTTCTTGGAACCAAACCTGTTGTATTCGTCTGCTTTGACGATATGGAGACGGGGCTGGTATTTATGCATGGAGTTTAATATGATCTGTAATACAACAAAAACAGATACATAAACCAATGCTCTAGCTCCATCCCACTTGTAGGAGGATATATTCAATAGGCCTATCCATACATTTGCCATTGTGTCTGGACGCATGCTATGCTGAAGCTAAGTTGTTTATTTCCAAATGCGTGTCTTTATGTACCAATGCACTGTGCGTATGTTTGTCGTGTCAGTGACTTTGCTCCATCTCTGGTAGCCATGCTCTGTGTGTAATAATAACGTATTAACAGATAATAGGCCTAGCAGAAAGCAGATAATAGTGTGTGTGTGTGTTTGTGCGCGCGTGTGTGTGTTTGTTCGTCGAGAGGCCTAATCCTAATTGGTGTGACGTTCCTACCAGGCATGGATGAGCTAATGACCCTTAACGTACCTAACATCATTATTGAGGTTACCGCTGTTCTAACAGAACCACAGCAGACAGCAGCACTATCCCTTCACACACACACACACACACACACACACACACACACACACACACACAGGGTAGAGAGGTTGAGGACTGACGTGTCCGAAGGGGTCCAGATGGTTGTTGGTGAGTTTCAGTTTCTGGAAGGAGACAAGCTGGCGTGTCCAGTGGCTTCCGGTGGCTGGAGAATCAGGATGGACGTACAACCTCCCTGGCATGGCCGGCTCCGCCTTCCCCATCACAGACCTGACGCATACACACACACACACACACACACACACACACACACACACACAATATTCACTCAACCAAATATCAATCACAATTGGATGCTGATGTAAGAGTCAGTTAGCCCTGCCCTTTTTCCTGCCCCTCGTACTGTGTGTCTTTCTCACTCTCGCTCTCCCGCACACACACACACACACACACACACACAGTCTAACCTGGCCATGCTCTCTACTGTGTTCCTCGTGCTGTCACACTGGCACAGGGGACACACAGATCTGACATGCCATGGTGCGCTGCTGGCTATATCTATTATGATCTATTATTATTATTAGACCAACATCCTCCTCACGCTTCAACTGCTTTTTTTAAACGAAGAGACACCGCTGGCCCCCGTCTGTTACATCAGGATATGTTAATACCAATACAGGTGTTAATCAGAGCGATGAGGTACAAGCAAATCCCAACCATGTGAAAATATACACATGGAACATACAGTACCAGTCAAAAGTTTGGACACACCTACTCATTCAAAGGTTTTTCTTTATTTTTACTATTTTCTACATTGTAGAATAATAGTGAAGACATCAAAACTATGAAATAACACATATGGAATCATGTAGTAACCAAAAAAGTGTTAAACAAATCAAAATATATTTCATATTTGAGATTCTTCAAAGTAGCCACCCTTTGCCTTGATGACAGCTTTGCACACTCTTGGCACTCTCTCAACCAGCTTCATGAGGAATACTTTTCCAACAGTCTTGAAGGAGGTGTGTCCAAACTTTTGACTGGTACTGTATTTCCGAAAGCTATTGTCTTTGTAGGACTATCAACTAATCTGATCTATACTGAACAAAAATATAAATGCAACATGTAAAGTGTTGGTCCTATGTTTCATGAGCTGAAATAAAAGATCCCCGAAATTTTCCATAAGCACAAAAAAATTGTTTCTCTCAAATTTTGTGCAGAAATTTGTTTACATCCCTGTTAGTGAGCATTTCTCCTTTGCCAAGATAATCCATCCACCTGACTGGTGTGGCATATCAAGAAGCTGATTAAACAGCATGATCATTACACAGGTGCACCTTGTGCTGGGGACAATAAAATGGCACTATAGAATGTGCAGTTTTGTCATACAACACAATGCCACAGATGTCTCAAGTTTTTAGGGAGCGTGCAATTGGCATGCTGACTGCAGGAATGTCCACCAGAGCTGTTGCCAGATCATTTAATGTTAATTTCTCTACCGTAAGCCGCCTCCAACGTCATTTTAGAGAATTTGGCAGTACGTCCAACTGGCCTCACAACCGCAGACCACGTGTAACCATGACACCCCAGGACCTCCACATCCGGCTTCTTCACCTGCGGGATCGTCTGAGACCAGCCACCCGGACAGCTGATGAAACTGAGGAGTATTTCTCTGTAATAAAGCCCTTTTGTGGGGAAAAACGTATTCTGATTGGCTGGGCCTGGCTCCCCAGTGGGTGGGCCTGGCTCCCAAGTGGGTGGGCCTATGCCCTCCCAGACCCACCCATGGCTGCGCCCCTGCCCAGTCATGTGAAGTCCATAGATTAGGGCCTAATGAATTTATTTAAATTGACTGATTTCCTTATATGAACTGTAACTCAGTAAAATTGTTGAAATTGTTGCATGTTGCGTTTATATTTCTGTTCAGTATATTTCAAACATGCAACATTTTCTGGTTCACTTTACAGGATTGGGGTCAATTTCATTTAAATTCCAGTCAATTCAGAAACTAAACCAAATTCCAATTCCAAATTTTCCTCATTGAATTTCAGTGTACTTCCTGAATTGAAAAGGAATTGATCCCAACCCTGTCACTTTAAAGACAATAGCCTATGACGTGTGTGTGTGTGTTGTTTTCGTGTGTATGACTCCTTATATTGGAATCTGTCAACTGGACCGAGCTGGCAAACATGTTCACTGAAGTTATTCCACTTCTGTCAAATATGACAGGGAAATGACAGACCACCGCTGATATTTACAAACAAATAATCTACCCATGCATAACAACGTTCACATTAGGCATTAACATCGTTCCTTGTCTAAACATATGACTGAAAATGGAGCGCCCGCCTTCTATTGTATCAGATGAATGATGTGTCCTTAAGGGCACCACCGGGCTTCATCACGTGACCAGGGAGAGGATGAGACTCACGCAGCACAAGATAGTTTATGCAGTGTTCACGTCATGTCGGAAACCTGGGACCTCCTAGTTAAAGGGAACGTAAGTTATTTGCGTAGAGCTTCGTATTGGTTGTATCTGATACTTCCCAAGAGGGAAACTCGGGTAAGATCTTTCTACAATGAGTAAGCAAATCAGAAATGTCTGAGTTTCCGAGTTTCCGACACGATGTGAACGCGGCTTTAGATCTCCCCTGCAGCCTGGTGCTGACCTCAGTGAAACCTCGCTTTTAATCTGCCCGCCACATGAACCCATGGTACTGAGACTGAACCGGCGGTCAGGGGCAGGAAACTAGGCCACAGAGCACAGGGCACTGAGTGGGACTGTGACATCACGGCAGCGTGTTAGCAGGCCTAAACATCCACGTCCCTGCTCTGTGTTGTTATGTTTCGCTCTCTATAATGCTGTTAAAATATATACTGTTTTATTATTTATTTTTATCAGCTCAAAACACATACTGTAGGCTATTTAAATATACAAAGTTTTGATATGTAGCTAGCTTACCATTTATTATCTGCAAACTTGTAGCGGTGGTCATCCGCTGGCACGATATCCATGAGGAGGATGTACTTGGCTTTAGGGCTGAGGCCCGTCACCTTCACCTTGTAGCAGGGGAACATCCGCCTGGCAAGACAGCAACAACACAGGCAGTCAGCATCATAGCAATATCAGTAGTCTATCACTGAGGCATAGCAACCATTGCTACAGTTGTGAGCAAAATCAAAACCCTAAACATCAAAATAATTTACAGAGTGGCTGCGGTTCCGGATTTTCTGGAGGCCCAATTTGCTGTGGCTAAAGATACTGAGATTTCTGCACATGTGTGTCACGATCGTCGGTGAGAGATGAGGACCAAGGCGCAGCGTTGAATGTGAACATATTTATTTAATTTGATGATCACACGATCAAAACAACAAAACGATGACGTGACAGTCAATGGTCATACACAAACCAAATCCGAACAAGAAACCACAAACACAAAAGGGAAAGATAGACAGTTTAAATATGGCTCCCAATCAGAGACAACCAGCTGACACTCGTTGCCTCTGATTGGGAGTCACTCAGGCCAACATAGAAATACAAACATAGAATTACACACCCTGGCTCAACATAACAGTGTCCCCAGAGCCAGGGCGTGACAGTACCCCCCCCTAAAGGCGCGGACTCCGACCGCGCCAACTAAATACCACAGGGGAGGGACCGGGTGGGCACTCCGCCTTGGCGGCGGATCCGGCTCCGGGCCTGATCCCCACTCCCTCTCCAACCCCCCAAAGTACCCCTGGTCCGGTCTGGCCCCGCTGGCCGGAGCTGGACTGCACACTGATGGAGCGGATTGCTCTAGCTCCGGCGTAACGCATCTGACCGGTGCCGGACCAGGCACCAGTGGAACAGGCACGGGCCGTGCCGGACCGACGATGCACACCACTGGCTTGGTGTGGGGAACAGGCACGGGCCGTGCTGGACTGACGACGCACACCACTGGCTTGGTGTGGGGAGCAGGAGCGGGCCGGACAGGGCTGACGAAACGCACCACTGACTTGGTGCGGGGAGCAGGCCGGGCCGAGCTGGCGACACGCACCGTAGACTTGGTGCGGGGAGCAGGAACGGGCCGAGCCGGGCTGACGAAACACACCACAGACTTGGTGCGGGGAGCAGGAATGGGCCGGACTGGGCTGGCGACGCGCACCACAGACTTGGTGCGGAGAGCAGGAACGGGCCGGACAGGGCTGACGAAACGCACCACAGACTTGGTGCGAGGAGCAGGAATGGGCCGGACTGGGCTGGCGACGCGCACCACAGACTTGGTGCGGAGAGCAGGAACGGGCCGGACAGGGCTGACGAAACGCACCACAGACTTGGTGCGGGGAGCAGGAACAGACCGGACCGTACTGGGGACACACACCACTGGCCCTACATCGGGATCTTGAACGGGCCGGACCGGACTGGTAACACACCCCAGTACCTCTCGCCGTGCCTCTCCACCTTCCATCCCCTCTTCGACCAGTGGCCCCCGTAACCTGGCGGCCTCCTCTGCTAACCCGCTGGACCGCTCTATCGCGGCCTCCTGCTGCCCCGACGTCGTGAGCCCCCCCCTAAAAATGTTCTGGGGGTCTCTCCTCCCCGTGGGCCAGGCCTCTATCGTTCTCGCCCAACTCTCGCTCTTCTGTCTCCAACTCCCGCTATTCAGCTCCTCAATGGGCTTGACCCAGTCGAAGCTCTTCCTCAACTGTTCCCAAGTCCACCCTCTCTGCTCCTCACTAGGCTTGACCCAGTCAAGGTTGCCACGGAGATCTGCTAGCGATGGCTCCTGGACACGCTGCTTGGTCCGGTTTTGGTGGTTTCTTCTGTCACAATCGTCGGTGAGAGATGAGGACCAAGGCGCAGCGTTGAATGTGAACATATTTATTTAATTTGATGATCACACGATCAAAACAACAAAACGATGACGTGACAGTCAATGGTCATACACAAACCAAATCCGAACAAGAAACCACAAACACAAAAGGGAAAGATAGACAGTTTAAATATGGCTCCCAATCAGAGACAACCAGCTGACACTCGTTGCCTCTGATTTGGAGTCACTCAGGCCAACATAGAAATACAAACATAGAATTACACACCCTGGCTCAACATAACAGTGTCCCCAGAGCCAGGGCGTGACAATGTGCAGGAATTTTTTTTACGTAACTGCTGCCCACTCCGGTGCCTGCATAGCTGCTGCCCACTGCTCTGCTGCCGCTTCCCCCTCCTTAATCCGCGATTAACAACTTTGTCTGGTGTAGCCTACAAACTTCATGTTGTACACAAAGGATATGGTCGACATGTTCTAACTATTGCATTCCATGCCTCAATAGGATGTTAAGCATAAGCACGATTTATTATAGCAATTGTAAAGATTTGCACAGACCTACAACCTTTGCATGCTATCTTGAACATGCACGCTTTCTAAGATGACATAAAAATACATTTATAGTTACAGTAGGCTAACCTCAAAATGTGGCCATTTTAAGGTTGAATAAATACTGTTACATTAGTTTCCAAAATAGCCTTAACTTTAGGCTATTGACAACACAACCAAATATCAACATTTAAAGGATATCGAATGCTTGGATAGTTTCATCTGAGCCACAGCCTTAATCCTATTCTTTAAAGTTTATTTTAGGTTTAGTTGGAGATGTGAATCCAACATTTAGTATCATTTGTTAACTTGTCGACAAGTTAATAGGCTATTTATTGTATTACAAAAGTGATATTGAATTGTTTTGTTGTCAACGCAACCAAATATCAACATTTGAAGGAGATGTATCTTTTGTGCCACTGATTTAGTCTGGCTTTAATTCCAGTTTGTCTACAAATTATTAATTGATCAATTGGATTCACATCTCCATCTCAACAAAGAATCAAAGTTAAATAATAGTACTAAATCAAATCAAACTTTATTTAAAGTGTATTTAAAATTTGATTGTTTAACAGATTTTTGGTTGAGATGCAGAAGTGAATCCAACATATCAATTATGAATTTGTAGACAACCTGGAATTAAACAAAGTCAGTGGCACAGATGGAACTATCCAAGCAGAAGATACATCTCCTTCAAATGTTGATATTTGGTTACGTTGACACAATTCAATATCCAGATTGTCTAGAAATGAATAATTGATATAGACGTCTCAACCTCAACCAAATATCTAAGTTAAATAATAGACCGGGAGACTCATGGGCGGCGCACAATTGGCCCAGCGTCGTCCAGGGTAGGGGAGGGAATGGCCGGCAGGGATGTAGCTCAGTTGATAGAGCATGGCGTTTGCAACGTCAGGGTTGTGGGTTCGATTCCCACGGGGGGGGGCAGTATTAAAATTAAAAAATTAAAATAAAAAAGGTATTCACTAACTGTAAGTCGCTCTGGATAAGAGCGTCTGCTAAATGACTAAAATGTTAAATGTAATAGGACTCAGTCTAATCTAATCAAACTTTAAATGCACTTTAAATAAAGTTTGATTTAGTCCTATTCTTTAGCCTTGATTTTTGGTTAAGATGGAGACTTGAATCCAATGATTAACTTGAAGATTAAATTTGAAATCAACCAAAGCTTGAAACCCTAGGCCTATACAGTGCCTTTAGAAAGTATTCACACCCCTTGACTTTTTCCACATTTTATTGTGTTACAGCCTACATTTATAATGGATTAACCTTTCTTTAGATGTTGTGTCACTGATCTACACACAATACCCCATAATGTCAAAGTAAAATTATGTTTTTAGACATTTTTACAAATTAATACTGTGTAACTGTGTGCAATAATGGTGTTTAACATGATTTTTTTCACACTTTGGATGGTGTATTAATACACCCAGTTACTACAGAAATACAGGTGTCCTTCCTAACTCAGTTGATGGAGAGGAAGGAAACCGCTCAGGGATTTCACAATGAGCCCAATGGTGATTTTAAACCAGTTACAGAGTTAAATGGCTGTGATAGGAGAAAACTGAGGATGGATCACCAACAGTGTAGCTACTCCACAATACTATCCTAAATGTATTTTGGAATATAAAACTATTACAAAACATGCATCCTGTTTGCAATAAGGCACTAAAGTAATACTGCAAAAAATGTGGAAAATAAATACACTCTTTGTCCTGAATACAAAGCATTATGTTTGGGACAAATCCAACACAACACATCACTGAGTACTACTCTTTATATTTTCAAACATCGTGGTGGCTGCATCATGTTATGGGTATGCTTGTCATTGGCAAGGACTAGTGAGTTTTTTTAGGATAAAAAATAAAAGGAATAGAGCTAAGCACAGGCAAAGTCCTAGAGGAAAGCCTGGTTCAGTTTGCTTTCCAACAGACACTGGGAGACAAATCTACTTTTCAGCAGGAAAATAACCTAAAATACAAGGTCAAATATACTACTTACCAAGACGGCATTGAATGTTCCTGAGTAGCCTAGTTACAGTTTTGACTTAAATTGGCTGAAAAATATATGGCAAGACTTGAAAATGGCTGTCTAGCAATGATCAACAACTAACTTGACAGAGCTTGAAGAATTTTGAAAAGAATAATGGGCAAATATTGAACAATCCAGGTTTGCAAAGCTCTTAAGAGACTTACCCAGAAAGACTCCCAGCTGTAATTGCTGCCAAAGGTGCTTCTAACATGTATTGACTCAGGGGGTTGAATACTTATCTAATCAAAATACATTAGTGTTTTATTAATTTTTTTTATCTTCCACTTTGAAATTACGGAGTATTTTGTGTCGATCGTTGACAAAAAATGACAATTAAATCCATTTTAATCCCACTTTGTAAAACAACAAAATGTGGAAAAAGTCGAGGGGTATGAATACTCTGAGGGCACTGTATGTATTGTTTATTTTTAGTGAACCCTGGGTTGAATTGAAACATAGCCGTTGATGACTTTGCAAATGCTATATAGGCCTAAATAGTATAATTGATGATCTATGATTTCTAAAGTATGGTTAAATGTCATTTGCTCTGTTAAACCTACCATTTGGAATGACTTCGATAGCTATAGTGAATTTTGTTATTAAGAGATCTCTCAATAACCATTCTCACGATAGCACATTGGTATTAGTCAGTGACAAATATCAAAGCTAAGCAGGGCTTGGTTAAAACCCTGGATGAGAAACCAAATGAATAGCTGTAGAAAGACCATCTCTCCAGTAGGAGGTGCTGCTCAGCCTATTGTTTTTATCTGATGGTGAGCTCCAAAAGGGACCAAAAGTACTGGGACAAATTAACTTATATGGATGTGTATTAAAGTAGTCATGCATCTGTAACTTTCTCACTCATCAATATTCACGATTCATTCAGGTTTATCCATCATCCTGGTAGCATCCATATTAATGTAGAAGTGTTTTGAAACATATTATATTCTCATTTACAATAAAAGTGACTCCAAAATGACACAAAACAGTATTGACCGTTAATTTCTATTGGGCACAAAAATAATCTGAAACACAACCAAAACAAACAGCAAATGCATCCAACAAGTTTGTAGAGTCACAAGCTTGATGGAATCATTGCGTGCTAGGAATATGGGACCAAATACTAAACTTTTGACTACTTTAATACATACAGTGGGGAGAACAAGTATTTGATACACTGCCGATTTTGCAGGTTTTCCTACTTACAAAGCATGTAGAGGTCTGTAATGTTTATCATAGGTACACTTCAACTGTGAGAGACGGAATCTAAAACAAAAATCCAGAAAATCACATTGTATGATTTTTAAGTAATTAATTTGCATTTTATTGCATGACATAAGTATTTGATACATCAGAAAAGCAGAACTTAATATTTGGTACAGAAACCTTTGTTTGCAATTACAGAGATCATACATTTCCTGTAGGTCTTGACCAGGTTTGCACACACTGCAGCAGGGATTTTGGCCCACTCCTCCATACAGACCTTCTCCAGATCCTTCAGGTTTCGGGGTTGTCGCTGGGCAATACGGACTTTCAGCTCCCTCCAAAGATTTTCTATTGGGTTCAGGTCTGGAGGCTGGCTAGGCCACTCCAGGACCTTGAGATGCTTCTTACGGAGCCACTCCTTAGTTGCCCTGGCTGTGTGTTTCGGGTCGTTGTCATGCTGGAAGACCCAGCCACGACCCATCTTCAATGCTCTTACTGAGGGAGAGAGGTTGTTGGCCAAGATCTCACGATACATGGCCCCTTCCATCCTCCCCTCAATACGGTGCAGTCGTCCTGTCCCCTTTGCAGAAAAGCATCCCCAAAGAATGATTTTTCCACCTCCATGCTTCACAGTTGGGATGGTGTTCTTGGGGTTGTACTCATCCTTCTTCTTCCTCCAAACACGGCGAGTGGAGTTTAGACCAAAAAGCTCTATTTTTGTCTCAGACCACATGACCTTCTCCCATTCCTCCTCTGGATCATCCAGATGGTCATTGGCAAACTTCAGACGGGCCTGGACATGCGCTGGCTTGAGCAGGGGGACCTTGCGTGCGCTGCATGATTTTAATCCATGACGGCGTAGTGTGTTACTAATGGTTTTCTTTGAGACTGTGGTCCCAGCTCTCTTCAGGTCATTGACCAGGTCCTGCCGTGTAGTTCTGGGCTGATCACTCACCTTCCTCATGATCATTGATGCCCCACGAGGTGAGATCTTGCATGGAGCCCCAGACCGAGGGTGATTGACCGTCATCTTGAACTTCTTCCATTTTCTAATAATTGCGCCAACAGTTGTTGCCTTCTCACCAAGCTGCTTGCCTATTGTCCTGTAGCCCATCCCAGCCTTGTGCAGGTCTACAATTTTAACCCTGATATCCTTATACAGCGCTCTGGTCTTGGCCATTGTGGAGAGGTTGGAGTCTGTTTGATTGAGTGTGTGGACAGGTGTCTTTTATACAGGTAACGAGTTCAAACAGGTGCAGTTAATACAGGTAATGAGTGGAGAACAGGAGGGCTTCTTAAAGAAAAACTAACAGGTCTGTGAGAGCCGGAATTCTTACTGGTTGGTAGGTGATCAAATACTTATGTCATGCAATAAAATGCAAATTAATTACTTAAAAATCATACAATGTGATTTTCTGGATTTTTGTTTTAGATTCCGTCTCTCACAGTTGAAGTGTACCTATGATAAAAATTACAGACCTCTACATGCTTTGTAAGTAGGAAAACCTGCAAAATCGGCAGTATATCAAATACTTGTTCTCCCCACTGTATATTAAATAAATACTCCCGAGTGGCGCAGTGGTCTAATGCACTGCATCGCAGCGCTAGCTGTGCCGCTAGAGACCCTGGTTCGAATCCAGGCTCTGTCATAGCCGGCCGCAACCGGGAGACCAATGGTGCGGCGCACAATTGGCCCAGCGTCGTCTAGGGTAGGGGAGGGAATGGCCGGCAGGGAGGTAGCTCAGTTGTTAGAGCATGGCGTTTGCAACGCCAGGGTTGTGGGTTCGACTCCCACGGGGGGCCAGTATTTAAAAAAAACTGTAAGTCGCTCTGGATAAGAGCGTCTGCTAAATGATATAAGTGAATTTGTCCCAATACTTTTGGTGTAAAAGAACCCCCAGCTTTGGTGTTAATAACCAGAACCACGCTTATCATTATCATATTTCCAAGCATGCTCTACTGCGGTTGATATTTTAGGATTGTTTTTAATATCTGTGTTTTTGCTTTTGGTTTTGATTGATTGATTGATTAATCGTATGCTCCACAAATATAAATAACATACATTTTTCTAAACTAATACAATCAATTAGTAAGATTTATTGCACCTGTCACCTAAATGGTTGTTCCAGTTTAAATGGTTTAGGTAGTCTTCTTATCAAATTTCCTAACCCTGAAAGTAATTCTGAATGCAGGTTGCTGGTGAATAAATATTCAAACTGTTGAATATCCTAACTCTGGCTGGATTCCAATAGGAATTACACATCACTTTGCAAGCCAGCATAATGTGACTTGCAGGCCTGATGTGGCCTGTAAACCAGGAGTTTCCTAACACCACTGTGTAAGGGTAAAACTAGGCCATCAAAGTAAGGTCTTATGATATATGTATTGTATTGTCATAGAGTTTAATTTTAATGATAGCATTCGACTAGGTACTCACTTGGTGAAAGCCACAGGCCTTTAAAATTAAAGAATTCAATAACCATGTCTCTGTCACTAACAAATACAGTCATGGGTGGAAACTCTACAATTCACTCAAAAAAAGAAAAGGCACCCTGGGAAATATGCAAATTAGGCGTTACACCATACAGTGTTAAAACAACACCTACAAATTATTTCCTGTAACACTACAGGTGTTAATTTCTTACACTGAGAAAGTGTAGCAGCGTCAGCACTAAGCAAAGTGAGTCCAGTTTACTCTAAATCAAGTGTTATGTTTTACGCTGTAGGTGCTGCATATTACTCTACAGTAGAGCTATGCAAACACCACAATCAAGTTAATTTGAACACTTTAAGAGTTGAATTGGGAACACTGTAACATAGTTAAATCTTTAACACTTTCAAAAGTGTTAGTTTAACACCAGTTCAATGTGACTCATATGTTCACTGAACATAGTGTATGTTTAACACTTTCAGACTTAAATGTACACCATTGATTTTACTGTATACTTTTGGAGCTCACTGTAAGTTGAAGATCTAAAGTTGTTTCAAATGCACAAATTGAACATATTTTATACAAGGTTTGTCTATGTTGAAAATTGGTGGATGAAATTTCACCCTCCAAACAACAGTTTACATTGATTACTTTTTTCAAATCCAATGTATTTTCCTCGTACATCCCACGTCACAATATATTGACAAGTTACTAGCTACGTTGATTCAACCAACCAGTTTGTGCCCAGTGGGAGGCTACATCATCATGGTTCGTTCAGAAGAGGGTGAGTAAAGAGAGAAACGTGAAGGGAAGTGAAATGTGAGCAGCAAGAAAAAATGTGTGCGTAGAATTACACATGTGCGTAGCTTTGAGAAAGAGGTTTCCAGAGGGGCGGGGCGAGTGCGAAAACTCCATATTCACAGCCACCGCCAATAATTTATTAGGCTAATGAGAAAATGATGTTTTGTGAAAATGTGTACCCGGACAATATCCTACTTGTTATATGCCTAATTATAAATACAAACGTTACAAACATTATGCCTAATCACAAAAATTTGACGTTTAACAGGTCTAGGCCTAGTGGATATTATATTTGTTTTCCTAAATGTTCAGTGTTAATTAACGGAAGTTCAAAAAACCTATAGCCTAAGAGAGAAAACAATATTTGCTAGTTTATAGGCTTAATTGTAGCCTATAATGGACACGATTTTTAATTCTTACCTAATGCAAGAAAATATGGAGCACGCATTTACCTTCCCGCTTTAGTGATGATCATCTCTGTTCCGACCTCGTGGAACTTCTCCCACAGCTCGCGCTCGTGCAGGTAGAATTTTATTCCTTCCATCCCCTGAGAATAGAGAACAGATGAGGTAAGAGATATATATACTAAATATTTAAACCAATGTCCCGATCCATCCTTGCATGAATATCCTACCGATAGGCCTAAATAAATTCCATTGAACATTGTAAAAACAGTTTTTTAAACAAACCTAAGCCTATACAGTCTGGCCAATAACATTTAATTTGATCTTAATGAGACTGTTGTATTATTGGAACGGTTTGATTAAAATGACAATACGTTAGGTCCTATATTAATATTAATAACAGCAAGCCTGTTTATTAGATGCTGCATAGGCCTACACAGTTAAATAGGCTACTGAAGGTTTCAAATGTATACGAGAACCACGATATTTTTACTAACGGGATTTGACACAGATTTAACCAGATAGTCAGTCAGTGTTGCTCTGGGCATGTTTTGGTAACCAACCGACTGTTTAGAAACCAAATCTAGGTCATATTTAGCTCCTGCGTTCCTAAAATCGTCTGTCTGTTTCTGCTTTGACATGACATGCACTACTTCGCCGACTTTTGTTATTATATTGGGGGAATAATCGTTTAAATTAGTTGCCTATATTATTCAGAGTATTTTCATTTTTTTCTCTTCAATAGGCTATGGGCCTACTATAGATTATTAATCTAATTACATTATTTTCAACAATTATTTTTCCATTTCGCTTTAGTAGAGACAATCATGCATAAATCGTGATCACCCACAATTTAAAAATAAATAAAAGTGCATCGTTTTCATGTTTTGACAAATTCAACATTTACACACACAGACACACACACACGGGAAGTTACCTGCTGTGTGCACGTGGTCTCCGGTGACAGTGGAGAGCTGGAGCAAGTGTGATTCTCCGGTTTGGTCTCTTTCGGTGAGTCCGTGTCTGTGTCCATGCGCTCTGGGATGGCGAACGGGTCTCCACCGTTAGCCATGACAAACACTACCTGACACCAAGGGACACACTGACGGGATAGACACACACACACACACACACACACACACACTATTATCTGATAGGCCTAATATACAGTATGTTAATACTTTATTTTTAGCCTATTAGGCCTGGGATAATAGAGCTGATAATAATGACTTGAATTCAATACACACCTCAGTCTCATTTCACAGAAAATATGACAAAATAATAATGCAATTCAAACTAAAACTATATTACAAAATAAACTGTGTTGTGCATTTTTTAAAATGTAGGTCCTAAAGAAATAGGCTCATGCATAAATGGTCTAGATAATCAAATGAAACAAATTAAGAAAAATAAGCATAATTAAAATATATATTTTAATAGTCATTTAAATGTGTATTTAGATAGTCAATTAAATGTATATTATTCTGATTTAGATAGCCACCTGCAACATGTAGGCTAGTTTAATATCAGTAGGCTAAGGCTTTGTGGCTTAATCTATTATAAATCTATTATTTAAAATAATATTATGGCTATGTCACAGTGTGTGCATATTTAACAACATGTAATAATAACAATAATAATAATAACAATCATCATCATCATCATCATCATAATAATCGAATAACAGTCATAATTAATAATAAGATAACAATAATAGGAATAGGTTTACTGATAATAATAATGAAGCTTTAATTAAGTAGGTCTATAAATAATGTAGCCTATCCTTAATAATAACGCGTAACAATATCCTACTAGTGATTAAATATGCTATTAGTAAGCTAATAGATGGACGGTTATATAAGGATGCTATTATTATAAGCTGTGAAAGATCAGGGCCCACTGGTAAAACATTGTTTTGTTTTCGATAAATTATTGACAATAACATTTCCAGTGACACTAAATCCAAACAGTGTTTCTAGACGACCGAAGAGAGGTCCAGTTTGGCTTATTGTTGGTAAAATCCCTGACTGCACCTCTCACTGTACTAGATCTGGGCTCAAATACATGCGTTTTTAAGCAGGCCTATTTGTTATTTAAATACTTATTTTCTGTGTATTTGAGTATTTTCAAATAATATGGCCAAATCAGCTACTTATATTTTACATTATTTGAAAGTATTTTCAAATAAATTCCTATAAAAGCCGAAACTACAGTATTTTTAAATAGGATACAATATTTGTATTTGAAAATACTTTCCAAGTGTTTCCAAAAACATTCCAATATTCAACTAGCCTACATGTATTTTCAAAGAAAAATTATCCAAATACTTACTTCGAAATGTCTTTAGGGTATTTCAATTAATTTCAAAGTATTTGAACCCAGGTCTGCACTCTACATCAACTCTGGACCCGAACAGTGAAGACATGGAGACAGCCGTCTAAAGCCAATCTGCTGAGACTAAACAACACTACATCCAGCCGCACACATTCACTCAAACACTCCTCACACACACTTCGGGTCTGTGTACCTCATGCGCTGTTCTGTTTCGGACCTGGAGACCACAGTTCCACGGTCATCCTGGTGTGTGTGTGTGTGTTAGATCGGTGTCCAGAGTCGCTGTGTCACCTAATCCGCAATTCTCCAAAGGCGCAGACCCACAGAGTTCACCGAATTAAATTGAACACTCCGTCAGACCTCCTTCAGTAACGCATTATTATCGTAAATAATCACACTGAAGAAGGTGGCAAACTTTGTATTTAAAACTGGATTGACATATGTTGGATGAACTTCCTCACTAGTCTGAACGGTGCAGAGCCAGGTCCACCTCAAGAGACCCCCAATATTTTAAAACTGGATTGTACCATATGGTTGGAGAAAATTGCAGGACTATGTCTGGTCTGACGGGCAGAAGCAGGTCACACCCTCAGAGACAGCCAAAGTGATCAAGCATATGATATTCCTGAGACTTAAGCGAATAAGCGACCGAGGCCGTCGCTCGGCAGAGAGAGAGACACGAGAGAGAGACTCTCTGAGATAGCACGATCGAGAGATGCTCGTCGACGATCTAGCGAGTAGGAGAGATCTCTCTCGTCTCTAGTCTCATCTCTCTCTATCTCTCTTCTCATCTCTCTCTCCTCTCTCTCTCTATCTCTCTCTCTCTCTCTCCTCTCTCTCGTTCTGGTCCTCATCAGTGTGTGGAGCTTGGAGCTCGGTTTGACCCTCAAATCAGGAATTTATGCATTTCAAGGCACCCCCTACGTTTTTCAGCCCCCACCCCCATCGTACCCACGCGTCATAGGCAGTCACTGAAAGAATGTAGGCCTATAAACTTGCTCTATCTCTCCCACCTCTCTCTCACACACGCAGAGAGAGAGACAGAGCTTTAGCAACAGTGGCCTTGTCATTCATGCTAATAAAGATGATATGAATCAGAGAGAGAGACAGCGAGAGAGATTTCCCTCAGATTACACAGATCCACAAATAATTCGAAAACAAACCCAACTTTGATAAACTATCTACTGGGTGAAATACCACAGCATGCCATCACAGCAGCAATATTTGTGACCTGTTGCCACAAGAAAAGGAAACCAGTGAAGAACAAACACCATTGTAAATACAACCCATATTTATGTTGATTTATTTTCCCATTTGTGCTTGCACATTGTTACAACACTGTATATATACATAATATGACATTTGAAATGTCTTTATTATTTTGGAACTTCTGAGTGTAATGTTTACTGTTAATTTGTATTGTTTATTTCACTTTTGTTTACTATCTACTTCACTTGCTTTGGTAATGTTAACATACGTTTCCCATGCCAGTAAAGCACTTAAATTGAAATTGAATTGAATTGAGAGACAAGAGAGATTAATTCATTCCCTGCATGGCCAGGGATTATTTTGAGAAAATGGAGGTCGGTTTATGAAGATCTGGTTTGATTTAAAGAGCATGAAGGTATTATCCCTATTTAAGAGAGGAGCAACATTTTCTGAAAATACATGCATGCATGATCTCAGAATATAAATACTATTAGACTATCTTTTCCTTTTTTATATAATAGCTAGGCTAGCCTTCATGTATATTATCTCAAAGGCCACCATCCTTCACATAGCATTTCGCTGCAGGGCGCGTGCGTCTGTACTGAGAATCGAGATAATCAACCGGTCGCCCTCATTACCGTGCAGCTCTTGAGCAGAGTCAACCGGAGTTGAAGGGGTCAGCATGAGGTAAACAGGCGCTCGTTTAGGCTCGGCTCTCTCCATCTGGCGGAATGAACTTGACTCAGATTTTAATCAAATAATCAATCCGCGATCACACACACACATTGAAATAGGATAGGTTTGCAGCGATACAGTCTATTACAATAGTGTGGAATTATAGCCTGGACTCATTGGTGTAAGAAAATAGGCCAACCTCGCGTAAATATAGCCTAATTATAACCTAATCTGATTTGCTTTTCTCACATTGTCTTGGCTACGACTCATAGGCTACCGATGATGACTCTGTAGCCTTAACATTCTGCTTCGATAATGCTCTTGTTCCTCAAAACGGTAATCTGTCTCACAGTAATAAACTCGTTATTACAGGATTGTAACCAGAATTTTGGCTTTTACTCATGCAGTGTCCCGCGCGCTCTAAAGCGCAAGGTTTTCTTCAATCCAACAATTATTTCCTAAAGTGATAGCCTAGCAGATCATTTAGGCAAATATTGGGCATATTAGTAAAAGGCTTGACCTCTATTTTTATCACAAATAAGAAGGCCTATAGCCAGTCGGTCATGCATGGTCTCCAAAACAGACCAGTAGTAGGTTATTTCAACAATTGTTGTATCTTACCGTGTTCAGATGGCAGTTCAACGCTGGGACATTTACGGTCTATTCGGTCTGTAACCAAGGCCTAGTGTGTCAACAGTCCTCGATGGTCTCATATGAAGCAGTCCATGCGTCTGTGCGTCGGGGCATTCACATATGCCTAGAGCATGTGCTGTCGTGTAGTGGCATTGAGATTGTGGCTGTTGTGGAGTGGGCATTGATTTCCGTCGCTGCTTGCACCACACACGTCACTGCTCACACGACTGACCCCACTGTGAATAATTACAAAGATATAAAGTCAACATTAGGCCGATACTATACTGCTACCAGTATGTGGCATTTCAACTGCCAGAGAAATGAATGGAAATTACTGATGGACAAAGATCAACTTTCTATTGATAACCAACCGATGTGAGGGTGTTCTGCGAATATCAGACCACAACTGTTTCTAAACTTAATGTGCAGTGGAACTCAGGCCTCTGTCTCACCCCTCTCGCCCTCTGACCTGTACGTGTTCTCTTTTATATTTGGGGCCTTGGACCCTGATAAAGAGAGAGAAAGATAGAGACTCATTAACATCTCAAATCCTGCACTGCTAATCAGAAACAGCGGCCTTGGTGTGAGATATACAAAAATCTTGAAATATTTTATGTGTAGAATATTTAGAATTCTGTTAAACAATCTTTTCGAGATAGTTGGCCTACACTCACTCACAGGCTATATTTATAGAATAGGCCTATTTCATGTTTGGTCAAGTGATGGTCGGTCGTCTTGTCTGGCTGCGGCTGCACGTGAAGTTGTGAACGTGTATGATTTGAACACGTATGATTCAGATGAAATAATGTCTGATACTTTCTCAATACCGTCTATAATAATAATAATAATATGCCATTTAGCAGACGCTTTTTATCCAAAGCGACTTACAGTCATGCGTGCATACATTTTTGTGTATGGGTGGTCCCGGGGATCGAACCCACTACCTTGGCGTTACAACCGCCGTGCTCTACCAGTTGAGCTACAGAGGTCCACTAGGTCTAGGCCGACTGTTTTAATTAATAGCTATAATTGTAGTCCTCTATGTGTAATCACATTTTGATCTAATCGGAACAAAAACATTCATTACGAACAGCAACTGTTTGTGAGAATTTTTTTTGGTAGGCTATAGTTTGACAGGCGTGTTGGCCGAGGCGCGTGTAGGCCTGAAGGACGCGCATTTCCAATTCACCTTTTTTAATAATTAATGTTTTATAAAACAACTATTAGGCATAATTCGAAAACCGTTATTCTTTATAACTTCAATATTACAAATATATCAGATTGTTATAAACGAATGTAGGGGCCTATCGCTAAATTCAAAGAGTTAGCTTCAGTAAATTTAGATTAGGAATTAGGCCTAACATTTTTTTTCCCAGGTCCGAGGGTCAATGGTAGGCTATATTTTTAAGTTTAGGTATATATTAATGACATGTGTTTATTTAAACAATCTTAAACTGACTGACAGGGAGTGAAACATCCCATAATCAAATCATACATGTAGAAAGCCTATTAATTTGAATGCCACTTAACATTTTTGAAAACTATTTTTGTCTCCCCCCACCTTTGAGTGTTCTAATACTCATCACGTGCTGTTTTATACAATTTAGTCGTCTTAAGCAATATCTAAAATACTATGATTTTAAAGAGATTTTAGTTTAGGTATTCATAATTGCAGATAATATATCCTATATTTCGTCTCTGTGTGTAGAAATCTAATAAAGTACACTAATAGTTGAAGAGTACATTGTTTGAAAAAAGGCAAATTAATCATTTAAAATTATTTATTGACTGTTATCACAAATATTCCTCACAAACTGAATTTGATTGTTTTGAACTTGTCATATCTATATTTTACATAAGACTTATAGAACATCATCTCAGTCGGTAAAGATAAGCAAGGGTAGGCCCAGGGAGAGTATAGAAGCTGAGTAACTAAACAAACTTCTCCATGTTAGAACTAACTTTATAGGACTACTAAGAAGCTGAAAGATACATAGACAGAGAGAGGTAAAATACATGCCTTTTTGTGGCCATGGTTGGACTACACTGTCCCATCCTTACTTCTACAGTTCCTCTATCAAGTCTTTATTTTTTAAAAACATTTTAGTCATTTAGCATACACTCTTATCCAAAGCAACTTACAGGAGCAATTAGGGTTAAGTGGCTTGCTCAAGGGCACATCAACCGATTTTTCACGTAGTCGGCTTGGGGATTCGAACCAGCGACCTTTTGGTTATGCCAGTAACTGGTCCAACGCTCTTAACCACTGGGTCTGTATGGAGGAAGTGGTTCCAAGTGTCCCACACACCTACAGCCAGACCAAAGGGAAGGAGTGTGTGTGTGTGACTGTGTGTGTGTCAGCAAGGGACAAGGTCAACCTACTGCTCTGCAAACAATCACATCACACAGGGTAAGTCACATTCCTACACCTCTCTCTCTCTCTCTCTCTCTCACTCACTCACTCACTCACTCACCCCCTTACCCCCTTCAGTCAGGTGGTCTCTCTCAGGTCCTGTTTTGTGGAAAAGAGAGGGCTGTTTACATCATAAACTACATAAAGAATACCTGCAAGCTGTCCTGATTGGATTCCAATGAGAGATGCCGAATGGCACAGAGACTCAAGGAAGTGTTGTTTCACTGTGTTATTACTTTATATTGGGGTTGGAATGCAGGACATAGCTTTCTGGCACCAGGTCCCAGGCTGCAATACACACTTTGTTAGCACACTCTACTGTCTGTTAGCCCACACTACACTTTTTACATTTTAGTCATTTAGCAGACGCTCTTATCCAGAGCGACTTACAGTTAGTGAGTGCATACATTTTTTTTCCATACTGGCCCCCCGTGGGAATCGAATCCACAACCCTGGCGTTGCAAACACCATGCTCTACCAACTGAGCTACTTCCCTGCTGGCCATTCCCTCCCCTACCCTGGACGACGCTGGGACAATTGTGCGCCGCCCCATGGGTCTCCCGGTCGCGGCCGGCTACGACAGAGCCTGGATTCGAACCAGGATCTCTAGTGGCACAGCTAGACCACTGACCATTGTTCAATAAAACAACATCACTACTGTAAATGACTTGTATCATTAGTCAGGCTGTCTGTGTGTGCAGTGTGTGTTCCCCAGACAGGGCTAGTCTCTTCTAGGGTCACTGTCCTGATAGGGAGCTGTGTCTGGCACTCCAGCGCCCTCTAGTGTTGGCCCTCTGGTCTGACAGACACAGCAGAACAGGGACTAAAACTACAATAGCACACAGAAACACGGTGCTCAAACTCACTCTGAGAAGTTCCAAACCATCAGGTCACACACTCCTAAACTCTTCTTAACATACTCACACACATAGATGGCAGTGTGTCTGTGCAGAAAAGTGCCCATTATTCTATCCGCTGGCATTTGACCAATGAAGTCGCGGGTGCAGAGTTAGTGGGGACAGAAAGGGTGTGGGGTTAGGGTGAGAGGGGCAGAGGGGGCACAGAGGTGTCCATGTGGGAACATTAACATTTAGGATACCAGCCTCTGTGCCTGGGTGTATGTCCAGAGAGGAACATGTCACTTACAGGCGTCACTCTGAAGTGTTACTAAACACAGGCTACCTTCTTTACGCACTGATAGCCATTGGCCACTCACACACACATACAAGAGAGATGGAGAGAAAGAGAGTGAGCGACAGAATGGCTTAGAGCTTCATCAGAAAAAGGTTATCGCAGGATGAACTACTTCATGCAGTAACACCTCATATCTTCCATATACTGCTCACGGGCCTAGACATCATCATCTCTTCCTCTCCTCCTCACCTAGGCATCATTATCCTCCTCCTCTCCTCCTCACCTAGACATTATTATCTCCTCCTCACCTAGACATTATTATCTCCTCCACACCTAGACATCACCTCCTCCTCACCCAGACATTATCTCCTCCTTTCCTCCTCACCTAGACATGATCTCCTCCTCACCTAGATATCATTATCTCCTCCTCACCTAGACATTATCTCCTTTCCTCCTCACCTAGATATCATTATCTCCTCACCTAGACATCATCTCATCCTCACCTAGACATCATCTCCTCACCTAGACATCATCATCTCCTCCTCCTCTACATAACTTCTTCTCAACCTTCCTCGTCCTCCATCAGTCAGTCCTGTTTAACTGCTGCCTTTAAAAAGCTTCTTCCTTCCAGTTGGATACTTTATCACTTCTAGGATGTCAGTCTTTAAAGGCTGAAAACTCATGTCAACACAGCTGACATTTGTGATGCTCTAAGGCCCTTTACTGTGTTAATGTGGCCTTTACTGTGGCTCACCCATTTCCCCACCATGGTATAGAGCTCAGAAGGCCTGTCCCCAGGTGGGGTGGTCTGGGTTAGCGTTGGGTCACAGGTTTCAGCACTGGACGTGTGAATGACTTCACTTAACACAGCCTCTAGCGGGGCCGGCCAGGGTGGACGGTCTAGGGTCACTTCATCTCACCTCTAGGAGAGAGATCGGAGAGGAATAAGAGTATTTCTGTCTGTCTGTCTCTTTCTCAGACCATCTGTTCAGTTCTTAGTGTTGCTTGTATCCAGCGCGACAGTGACAATGCCAGATCCCAGGATGACAAACAGTTACTAGTATAGCAGGACTGAGCGTGTCATACACTCACTTCATATCAAAAGCACTGGCCAATACTAGATTGGTTTCAAATCAGACAACTTTACAACAGAACTAAAAAGCTTTTGTCTTATTATTTAATGCACTTGCTTACAAGTAAAAAAAACAACAACACCATTATGATCAGGCAGGTGAGTGGACACCAGGTACGAGGTAGAAGGCAGTCCATTACATCTGAAATACTGTACCACAGGAATTAAATCAGAGAAAAGTAACCAGAAGAGCAAAATACATTAAATTGCATTAGAAATAGCAGACATTAGCATTTAACCGTTCTCGTTCCAGAATGACAGTACTACAAAATGCTAAAAGAGCGTATCCAGAAATCAAAGATGCCTTAACTTAAGTGTTTGACCAGCCAGTCAACCATGATGAACCCGACAACACAAACACACAGATACAGACACACACCCTGGGTTCAAATACATGTGTGTTTGAGCATTTGTTATTTAAATACTTTCTTTCTGTGTATTTCAGTATTTTCAAATACACAGCTCAAAACAGGCACTTTTCTTTGAGTTATTTGTAAAAACCAAATAGTTGACCAAATTGTATTTTAAAGTATATTCAAATAATTATTTCAAATACTATTTTCAAATACCTGGGTTAAATGCATGGGAGTGTATTTGACTATTTTCAAATACTTTCCAAGTGTATTTCCAAATACAGATATCATCAATATTCAACTACTTGTTTTTTTCAAATAAAGGTTATCTGAATACTTGTTTTGAAATATATTGAAAAGTAATTGAAATACATGAAATAGTATTTGAACCCAGGTCTGACACACACACGTGCGCACAAACACACAGCCCTTCATGCTAAGCAGATATAGATGTTTGTGATTTATAACAGGAGTCTATGTATAGAATCAGAAACATGACAGGTTTAGTTTAAAAGAGAAAAGCACACCTGGACCTGGGTTGGTAAGGTGCAGGCAGGCAAAACACAACACGTGACATGACACAATACCATAGTAGATCATCTGGATTTGAGCAAGAGAATCCGGCTTGTGGAAGAGTGTGCAGCAATACGATAAAAGCATTTATACAAAATGTGCTGCTGACATAGTGATTTCATACAATTGGATGCAGTCTAACAAGGGAACAGGATTGTCTACCGACAGGCAGAGCCACAGACACTAACATGTTCCATGACCAGGTTATTGATTGAATGGGACTCTTGGGTTCGGTCCCAATTGGCAGTGGTACCATATTCATTATATAGTGTACTACTTTTGACCAGGGCCCTTAGTGGGTGGCAATTGGGACGTAGCCTTGGTTAATACAGGCAAAAGACCAGCTGACCTATACTAGTGGAGGGTGTTTGGTAGACAGACCAGGCTCCACCACAGCACACACCTTCCTTCATCTCAGTACCTGGGTGGACTACATTCAAGTTTTAAGAGGAAATCGTACAATAAAATACAACGTATCCTTCACATTCCACTAGACACTCTAACACTGATAACCCCTCCCAGTCTGCCCAACACTGCTCTCTCTGAGTCATCCTCTATACCAGAAGCCCACAGCCACTACTAACACACCCCTCAGTGAGACAACGCATCCAGGAACCCCAGTTTGCGTCACTACCCTCCCCCACCAGGGCTAATTCAGTAAACAGAACCCCAGCAGACGCAGCAGGCCTATTAAACTCTCAGAGCAGAGCAGAGGAGAAGGGGGTGGGGGAGGGAGGTTCAGTCTTTCAAAGGGAGAAAGCACTCAAACAAGCGTAATTGTTTCTCTACACATTGGTTCTAGATGGTGGTTCTACATTTTGTTGGATCCAGAGTTTTGTTGATTCTAGACGTGGTTGGTTCTAGATGTCGGTGGTGCGGATGCCATCATGGTCCAGGCTGAAAGGGAAGCTGCAGTCTTTGGGTGGCTGAGGCTGAGAGCGGTATCTCCTCCGGCTGCTGGAGGGGCCTGGAGCTATGGGGACAGGGCAGGCTGGGACCCCCACACCACTGGCTAGGGCTGGAGCTGGGACCCCCTGTGGGATGAGAGTGGGAGTGGAGGGGGATGATGAAGATGATGAGGTGGAGGAAGAGGTGGAGAGAGAGGAGAGGCTGGTGGGCAGAGCGCTAAATGGACTGTCCTTGTCCAGTATGCCCAGATCGGGAGCCTCTCTTTGGGGTACGGGGGTCCAGGGCTGCCACCCCGGGGCCACGGAACATGACTTCACTAGTGGGGGTCTCCTGTCATTTCCCTGGCGACCACGGAACACAGAGGGTGGGTGGGAGGAGTTACCATGGTGATACAGAGAGGAGGCAAATGTAAATGCAGAGCCCTGAGAGAGAGAGAGAGAGAGAAAGACGCCATTTTTCCAATTCCCCCACTGAATCACGCTTGTATTTGGGTGTGCCATAATGACCACTAATAGTACTGGTCTGAATTGCTAGTCAGCCCATTGGGTCATGTGGGGAAAATTCTGAGGAGTTGTGATATGAGGCTTTCGTATGCATCTAAATCTACCTTGGCAGGGCCTCTGAAGTCCTGTATCTTCATCTCAATGTCTCTGATCCAGCCCTGCATGTCCTCTGGAGTGTCTGTCTGCAACAAAACCAGCACATGCTTACACATCACGCTTAAACAACACAGTAAGCACAAACACACACCTCTCTGTGATCTGAGGCCCCTGCTCCTAGTCAGCTGTTCTCCCATGGGGGGACAAGGGATGTTATTGCTCTTATGGTTAGTGTTGGGAGAGTTCTCCTCCAATTCACAAAAAACATCCCGTCCATTTCTCCAAAAACGGCACTAAGGCCACACATGAGCAAGTGAGCATTAAGCCAGAGAGGAGTCAACACAGAGGGAAGCCCAGCTGACGACAATACACACACACACACAATTACCTGGATGTAGAAGACCCTGGAGCTGGTGATGATCTCAAACAGGTTATCTCTCATCAGCAGGTCCCTGACAGAGAAGTGGGTAAGACATTGAGCTTCTGTGTGTGTGTGGGGGTGTGTGTGTGTGTGTGGAGAGAGCGAGAGAAAGAGAGGTGTGTGACTCTCACCCAGATTTCACCAGACACTCATGGACCTTCTGAATGTCTCTCAGAGGAACAGCTCTCAGCGGCTCCTTATCCTGAAATACATATCAAATACAGGTTACATGCACTCACACACTCACACACACACACACACACCCCGTGCATAAGAGAAACACCACTTTACTCTATTCCACTGACACATCTGTCACACTGAACAAATACCACACCAAAGCAGAAACAAAGACTTAAACACAGAGGACATGTTTTTCCCACAATGTATTGGCTTGGTTTGTATTTCCTCCCCAAATCCATTTGAGGACATCTGTAATTACACCCCACTGAGGTCTAAACTGCAACAGCGTTACCACCCAGAGACACACAGAGAGGAGAGAAGAGAAGAGGGATATGACCTCACCATCTCACACTTGTAGTAACTGACAGCGTTGTGGTCCAGCGTGAAGAAACGTCTCTTCCAGCTTTTCCTCTGAAACATACAACAGATTAGTTCAAACGTGTGTGTGTGTATGTGCACGCGTGTGTGGTGTGCGTGCGTGTGTGTGTACTCACCACGTTACCCTGTTTGACACAATAGCCACACCTCAGCACACCTGGTCTACTGCCTACAGAGGAGACCCTCCTGTCCCCTACCTCCATCTCCTCCCCCTCATTCTGCAACACACACACAATCATCATCGTCATCTTCTCTGTCATCGTGGCAATGGTGTATTTGGTCTACCGACCCGTAGCACTGACGTCTGTAGCCATGAAGTGCTTTGAAAGGCTGGTCATGGCTCACATCAACACCATTATCCCAGAAACCCTAGACCCACTCCAATTTGCATACCGCCCCAACAGATCCACAGATGATGCAATCTCTATTGCACTCCACACTGCCCTTTCCCACCTAGACAAGAGGAACACCTACGTGAGAATGCTATTCATTGACTACAGCTCAGCATTCAACACCATAGTGCCCTCAAAGCTCATCACTAAGCTAAGGATCCTGGGACTAAACACCTCCCTCTGCAACTGGATCCTGGACTTCCTGACGGGCCGCCACCAGGTGGTAAGGGTAGGTAACAACACATCTGCCACACTGATCCTCAACACGGGGGCCCCTCAGGGGTGCGTGCTCAGTCCCCTCCTGTACTCCCTGTTCACCCATGACTGCATGGCCAGGCACGACTCCAACACCATCATTAAGTTTGCCGATGACACAACAGTGGTAGGCCTGATCACCGACAACGATGAGACAGCCTATAGGGAGGAGGTCAGAGACCTGGCCGTGTGGTGCCAGGATAACAACCTCTCCCTCAATGTGACCAAGACAAAGGAGATGATTGTGGACTACAGGGAAAAAAAAGAGGACTGAGCACGCCCCCATTCTCATCTACGGGGCTGTAGTGGAACAGGATGAGAGCTTCAAGTTCCTTGGTGTCCACATCACCAATGAACTATCATGGTCCAAACACACCAAGACAGTCGTGAAAAGGGCACGACAAAGCCTATTCCCCCTCAGGAGACTGAAAAGATTTGGCATGGGTCCTCAGATCCTCAAAAAAATTCTACAGCTGCACCATCGAGAGCATCCTGACTGTTTGCATCACCGCCTGGTATGGCAACTGCTTGGCCTCCGACTGCAAGGCACTACAGAGGGTAGTGCGTACGGCCCAGTACATCACTGGGGCCAAGCTTCCTGCCATCCAGGACCTCTATACCAGGCGGTGTCAGAGGAAGGCCCTCAAAATTGTCAAAGACTCCAGCCACCCTAGTCATAGACTGTTCTCTCTGCTACCGCACTGCAAGCGGTACCGGAGTGCCAAGTCTAGGTCCAAAAGACTTCTCAACAGCTTCTACCCCCAAGCCATAAGACTCCTGAACAGCTAATCATGGCTACCCGGACTATTTGCACTGCCCCCCCACCCCATCTTTTTACGCTGCTGCTACTCTGTTAATTATTTATGCATAGTCACTTTAACTCTACCCACATGTATATATTACTTCAACTACCTCAACTAGCCGGTGCCCCGCACATTGACTCTGCACCGGTACCCCCCTGTATATATAGCCTCCCTACTGTTATTTTATTTTACTTCTGCTCTTTTTTTCTCAACACTTTTTTGTTGTTTTATTCTACTTTTTTATTAAAAATAAATGTACTGTTGGTTAAGGGCTGTAATTAAGCATTCACTGTAATGTCTGCACCTGTTGTATTCGGCACATGTGGCCAATACAATTTGATTTGATTTGATTTAGTACCTGGTAGATGGGTGTATGCACCACCACTCCCCCGATGATCTCAGTCTTGTAGGCCAACCTCTTACCCCCTGCCTCACAGGTTACTGTAGAAACCTCTGATCTGGGCTGGAGAGGCCCTGCTTTAGGGACCTACAGAAAACTACAGTTTGAGCATTAAGCCAAACACACAGCTAGCATTTAGCATTTAGCACACAATGCATTATCATTCAGGTTTACTTATTGATATCCTATGAAACTATCAATTCATTCTAACATATTTATGGAGTAATAAACAAGACATTTGAGATAAACAAGGCCCATAAGGCATACAGGGTTTTTTCAAGGGGAGTACAGGGCAGTTAAAGAGAAAGTGGAAGAGCGAGAGCTGTGTGAGGGCAGGTGACAATTGAGAAGAAACAGAGCAGCACCACACTTCAGCCTCACACACAGTGGTGACCTTTCTGACACAGGTCCCAATAATCTCTCCTTCCTTCCGATGTGTGACACTTCCCTTCATGGATTGGAAAGAAAATGACTGCTACAGTGCCTTCAGAAAGTATTTGCACCCATTTACTTTTTCCACATTTTGTTGTGTTACAGCCTGAATTTAAAATTGATTAAATTTAGATTGTGTGTCACTGGCCTACACACAATATCCCATAATGTCAAATTGGAATTATGTTTTTTGAAATTTTTAGAAATTAGTTAAAAATGAAAACCTGAAATGTCTTGAGTCAATAAGTATTCAACCCCTTTGTTATGGCAAGCCTAAATAAGTTCAGGAATAAAAATGTGCTTAACAAGTCACATAATAAGTTGCATGGACTCACTGTGTGCAATAATAGTATTTAACATGATTTTTGAATGACTACCTCATCTCTGTACCCCACGAATACAATTATCATCTGTAAGGTCCCTCAGTCGAGCAGTGAAACACAGATTCAACCACAAAGACCAGGGAGGTTCTCTCAAATGCCTCGCAAAGAAGGGCACCTATTGGTAGATTGGTTAAAAAAAACAGGCATTGAATATCCCTTTGAGCATGGTGAAGTTATTAATTTGACTTTGGATGGTGTATCAATATACCCAGTCACTACAAAGATACAGGCGTCCTTCCTAACTCAGTTGCCAGAGAGGAAGGAAACCGCTCAGGGATTTCACCATGAGGCCAATGGAAACAGTTACAGAGTTTAATGGATGTGATAGGAGAAAACTGAGGATGGATCAACAACAGTGTAGTTACTCCACAATACTAACCTAAATGACAGAGTGAAAAGAAGCAAGCCTGTACAGAATACAAATATTCAAAAATATGCATTCTGTTTGCAATAAGTCACTAAAGTAAAAAAGAAAATAAATGAACTTTATGTCCTGAATACAAAGCGTTATGATTGGAACAAATCCAACACAACACATCAGAGTACCACGCTATAGATTTTCAAGCATGGTGGTGGTTGCATCATGTTATGAGTATGCTTGTCATCGGCACGGACTAGGGAGTTTTTTGGGATAAAAAGAAACGGAATAGAGCTAAGCACAGGCAAAATCCTAGAGGAAACCTGGTGTTCAGTCTGCTTTCCAACAGACACTGGGAGACAAATTCACCTGTCAGCAGGACAACAACCTAAAACAAAGGCCAAAAATACACTGGAGTAGCTTACCAAGACGACATGAATGTTCCTGAGTGGCCTAGTTATAAGTTTTGACTTAAATCGGCAAGATTTGAAAACGGCTGTCTAGCAATGATCAACAACCAACTTGACAGAGCTTGAAGATTCTAACATGTATTGACTCAGGGGTGTGAATACTTACGTAAATGAGATATTTCTGTATTTATAAAAACATGTTCTCACTTTGTCATTATGGGGTATTTTGTGTAGATATGTGAGAGAGAAAAATAATATTTTATCCATTTTGAATTCAGGCTGTAACACAACAAAATGTGGAATAAGTCAAGGAATATGAATACTTTCTGAAGGCACTGTATATGGAAACTCCCTCTAGGCCATGCCTACACCAATCCAATGTTTTCAAATTTGTGGGAAGTGGTTAACGAGTGCACACTTCAGGAGAATAAAAGAGAGAGAAAATAAAGATTATTGGGACATAACCACTAACTGCTGCTCTCATCCCTCTGTAGTAGTGTGGAGGGGAGGAGTTACAGGCCTTATGACTGCCATGATTCAGCATTAAACTCTCTGGTCAAGAAGTTTGCATATGTGTCAGTGTGTGTGTGTGCTCTTTACTGCAGCTCCACAGCACAAACAGCAGCTGTGTGTGGTCCTCTGTAGCTCAGTTGGTAGAGCATGGCGCATGTAACTAGAGGCCTTCACGGGTCCAACTCCGAAATGGACCTGGGGCATTCCCACCCGGAACAGATATGCATGAATTAACTTTTTTAAATATAGTTAGACCCATTCCGAACGGACCAGAGGACAACTAGACCCGTTCCGTATAGACCTCGTCAGATCCGGACCCAGTCCCAGCCGATCTGAGTGAGGGAAGCAGCATACAATTATATTTTTAAAGGTACTTTATTAACCGGAGCTGATAAAGCGTGAGGGAGAGGAGGTGACGGTCTAGCAGGGGCGGTGCAGTGTGTGTAGGTCACTGTGAGTGTGTGACACGGGAACAGGGAGGAGGGAGGGAGAGACTACAACCAACCAAGCCGACTCGCACTATAGTAGATTAATAGCTAGGTTATTTATAATCTAATATGATTACGTAGTACCTGTCTTGACTGCATCAAACCAGGAGAAGCTAGTTAACTAGCCATCTAGGCTAATTGAAGCTGCATGCGCGTTCTCGTCCTACACAGTTACAAACAACAACAACTCCATTCAGAATATAAAGTAGCAGCCTACCTGTTGGCTCTTGGTTGTTGTAGCTCATCCTTCTCCTTTAACTTTCCATGCCATCATTTTAATTCCATCTTCCATTGATTACATATCTCCTAACTTTTGCCCCACACGGAGGCTCTGACTGTAGCCTATTGCCGCTTTGATGACTTATGATTGGCCAACAACAACACGCTTCACGCGCCAAGCAAAGAGCAGCAACATAAATTATACAATTTCTCTCTCTCTCTCTCTACTGCAGCAGTCGTGTTAGGATCTATATGGGTCCTTCTGGACAAGTCAGTTAAAATTACACATACCCGAGACAATCATATCAGATTCGAACCAGACCCGTGACATTATTTAGAATTCTGGATCTGGACCCGCTCAGGTCCTGGATCGTGCCTCGGGTATTCGGGTACAAGTGGGTCTGTGAAGACCTCTACTTGCAACGCCAAGATAGGGTTTGATTCCCGGGCAACACAATTAAGTAAAATGTATCCACGCATGACTAAGTCACTTTGGATAAAAGCATCTTCTAAATGGCATATATAGTACTATATTATAAACAGTGTATGTGTGGAAAGCCCCCCAACAGGCTGAATATAGGATTCAACACACACACTGTGCTGGAATGTACTCTGTGAAACCTCAAACACAATCATGCTGTCCTCTTTCACCATTTCCTCATATTCTAGATATGAGTGTGTGTGTGTGTGTGTGTGTGTGTGTGAGAGACAGAGTGAGTGAGTGAGAGAGTGTGTGTGCCAAACCAAATACATAATTAGCGGCGGGGGGATCCAATCGTAAAATGAGAAAAGGAGTAGCACTGTGTGGTGTCAAGACACAGAAATCCAGTAGCTGCCTGGCGCTTTATGGTGGGAATTTATTTCCCCTATCAATCAAATTAATTATTATAAGGGAAAATTGACCTGTCTCTCATATTTAATATTGGGGGGGGGGGGGGGGGGGGTTACGCACCTGGTTATACGTGTAATAATTAGATTAATCATATGTTATATTAATGTTACCATATGTTAATGGTAATGCTAGCTACATGAGTTGGGGTACTCACAGTGATCTTGGTGGCTTTGTTCAGAGAAAGGACCCAGTCTCTCAGGTCAGCAGCATCGTTGGCATGGAGGAAATAACGCCGAGACACTGCATTGATCACTGCAGACATCGTGATATACAGAAAATAAATACAGAGGCTATAATAGCATTGATCACTGCAAGGAGAACAGAACAGGTATGGGTCGTTCCACCTCAAAAAACACCAGAAAGAGGATTGACACCCACCATCTCAGATTGTTACATTTACATTTACATTTTAGTCATTTAGCAGACGCTCTTATCCAGAGCGACTTACAGTTAGCACATACATTATTTTATCGAACCCACAACCCTGGCGTTGCAAACGCCATGCTCTACCAACTGAGCTACATTCTTAGTAACAGATATAATTAGCATTCCTGAAACATTATTTTGTTGAAATATAATTTAATCTATGAGAAATTAAGCTAACTGATTGCACCCAAATTGGCCATTTTAATGTATAGGATTCTGATAATATTCAATAAATATAGTACCCAACATCCAATTTGGACCAAACGTCTTCCTACCAATTAGTAAGACATGAGGAATCCATTTTTTTCTCCAAAAGACACCCATGGAACCCTCACACTCTATGCCAATCCCACCCCAACATCCAGTATACAGTATCAGTTCTCTATGCTTGACAAATAGTATGAAGCTGTAGCTTGCTTCTCCATACTGTGTAATGTGTTCCCTGTGAATCTGGTCATGTTTTTGTTCCCCTGTAGTCACTGACGTCGCTTGCATTATTTATCATAAAGTAGTGTCAATGGTTTATAGAGAGGGTCTTCTAAGTGGGGAGCGGACCACTTAGAAGACATGTCAATTTGCCCTTATCAACATTAAAGATAACAATTACATTTTAGAAAAACAATGGCAACACTAGCTATTCTCTTGTGGAATTTGAAAGGCCTTAATAGTCGTTTCAAACATTCCAGCTGTTTTGATATTCTAAAACCACATTCATAGAGCAATGCTCCAAGAAACACACATGAAACTGAATTGAATGAATTCATAAATCACTAACAAAAATTCAGTCGATGATTCTCTGATTTTATGGGACACCATCAAAGGTTTTATTAAAAACAATGCAACTGCATTTGCATCTGGGCTGAATAAAATCACAATTAAAGAAGATATTGGATAAGTTGTTAACGACGTTAGAGCGTTCTCAACAAACACTTTTTTCAGACCAGGTAGCAACTACTCTCTCCAAAGTCAAGACAGAACTTAATCTATTGACAAGACAGAGAGCAGAATTTGCCATCCATCGAGTTAAACTTAACCATTAGTTTAATGGTAATCGACCCAGTCGTCTTCCAGCTAACAAGCTTCTCAGTAATTAGCGGATATTAACGGATATTGCAACCACTGAAACTGAATCAGGTGAATTACTATCAGAACCCAAATTAAATAAACTAAAGTTTCCCCCGTTTCTATAAAGAATTGTACCCCTTGGAGTGTTAATCCACTCCAAGCCAGACAGAGTCCTTTTTAAAAGATGTAAGAACTCTTCTTCTCTCAGCTGAGGAAGCCAGTTTGATGGGAGCCCAAATCGCTCTCCATGAACTTAAAAGGGCATTGGATAACATGAAAAGGCAAATCACCTGGTTGGGACGGTATTCCTCCGGAGGTCTATTTAACATTTTGGAACCAATTAGGTCAACTATTACTCAAAATGATTAACACAGCTGTTCACAAAGGGTCATTTGGAAGGGATGTTAATACAGCACTAATTTTGGTTTTATTAAAAAAAGGTACAGATGAAGTCAGAAGTTTACATACACTTAGGTTGGAGTCATTAAAACTTGTTTTTCAACCACTCCACAAATTTCTTGTTAACAAACTATAGTTTTGGCAAGTCGGTTAGGACATCTACTTTGTGCATGACATAAGTAATTTTTCCAACAATTGTTTACAGACAGATTATTTCACTTATAATTCACTGTATCACAATTCCAGTGGGTCAGAAGTTTACATACACCTAACTTGACTGTGCCTTTAAACAGCTTGGAAAATTCCAGAAAATGATGTCATGGCTTTAGAAGCTTCTGATAGGCTAATTGACATCATTTGAGTCAATTGGAGGTGTACCTGTGGATGTATTTCAAGGCCTACCTTCAAACTCAGTGCCTCTTTGCTTGACATCATGCGAAAATCAAAAGAAATCAGCCAAGGTACCACGTTCATCTGTACAAACAATAGTACGCAAGTATAAACACCATGGGACCACGCAGCCGTCATACCGCTCAGGAAGGAGATGAGTTCTGTCTCCTAGAGATGAACGTACTTTGGTGCGAAAAGTGCAAATCAATCACAGAACAACAGCAAAGGACCTTGCTGGAGGAAACAGGTACAAAAGTATCTATATCCACAGTAAAACGAGTCCTATATCGACATAACCTGAAAGGCCTGCTCAGCAAGGAAGAAGCCACTGCTCCAAAACCGCCATAAAAAAGGCAGACTACGGTTTGCAACTGCACATGGGGACAAAGATCATACTTTTTGGAGAAATGTCCTCTGGTCTGATGAAACAAAAATAGAACTGTTTGGCCATAATGACCATCGTTATGTTTGGAGGAAAAAGGGGGATGCTTGCAAGCCGAAGAACACCATCCCAACCGTGAAGCACGGGGGTGGCAGCATCATGCTGTGGGGGTGCTTTGCTGCAGGAGGGACTGGTGCACTTCACAAAATAGATGGCATCATGAGGAAGGAAAATTATGTGGATATACTGAAGCAACATCTCAAGACATCGGTCAGGAAGTTAAAGCTTGGTCGCAAATGGGTCTTCCAAATGGACAATGACCCCAAGCATACTTCCAAAGTTGTGGCAAAATGGCTTAAGGACAACAAAGTCAAGGTATTGGAGTGGCCATCACAAAGCCCTGACCTCAATCCTATAGAAAATGTGTGGGCAGAACTGAAAAAGCGTGTGCGAGCAAGGAGGCCTACAAACCTGACTAAGTGACACCAGCTCTGTCAGGAGGAACGCGCCAAAATTCACCCAACTTATTGTGGGAAGCTTGTGGAAGGCTACCCAACTTAAACAACTTAAAGGCAATGCTACCAAATACTAATTGAGTGTATGTAAACTTCTGACCCATTGGAAATGTGATGAAATAAATAAAAGCTGAAATAAATCACTCTCTACTATTATTCTGACATTTCACATTCTTAAAATAAAGTGGTGATCCTAACTGACCTAAGACGGGGAATTTGTACTAGGATTAAATGTCAGGAATTGTGGAAAAACTGAGTTTAAATGTATTTGGCTAAGGTGTATGTAAACTTCCGACTTCAACTGTAAGTATACCACACAGTGCTCTCACCATCTTTGATAAACACAGATATACAACTATTTTCAAACATTCTGTCATCCGTCTCGAAACTTACTTACCCAAAATGGTACATCCAGACCAAAACGGGTTTGTTAAACAATTATTATCCTCAGATAACCTTTGTCATCTATTACATATCTTACATCAGGGTTCCCAAACTGATATTTTTTTCTTATTTTCTTTTAGCAACTGTAATGATGTATTTGCGAGACAACAAGTGCCCATTGTGCAAATTTATTTATTTATTTATTCAATAAAAATTGGAGACGTAATATAGCTTAAATGGGTCCTGTGTGGCTCAGTTGGTAGGGCGTGGCGCTTGCAACGGCAGGGTTGTAAGTTCAATTCCCACGGGGGACCAGTACGGAAAAAAATTATGCACTAATACTGTAAGTCGCTCTGGATAAGAGCATCTGCTAAATGACAAAAACAAAATTAATAATAATAATATAATATATATGAGATGGTGGGTGTCATGGCTTGCTGAAATGACATGGAATGACTCATATGACACATAATTGAACCCATTTTACTGTACGCGTTTCACCAGGGCTATGAGAAGACCTTACACTCCAATACTTACGCACACAAAAGCACGCACACAAACACTTTGACTCACCAAAGCAGAACTCCGTCTTGGGCTTCTGTTTCCCAGTGGCCTCGCTCACCTAACCCCGAACAGAGAAGCAGAAGAGAAGATGAGAGTCTGGAATCAGTCAAAAACATTGCCCTTACTAAGTAGTCTGTTTTAGGGTGTTGTTACCTTGGAGATGTATGTCAGCTGCAGACTCCCAACTGCGTACGCTCCACTAGGCAGGTTCTACAGGCAGACATACAACACAACAATGTAATAAACACAGTAACACAACAAGTAGGGTTGGGCGGTATCCAGATTTTCATACCGTTTCTGTACCATACCGGGGTATATGGTATTACCGAATGTGCACACAAGGGCCACTATAAATAATAAAATAAAAAAATACATACCAGTATATATAATTTTTTGGACGCAACAATTTAGGCAACAGAGATCTTGATCCAGGAGGGGATTGAATATCTCTGCTGTAACCAAGAAGCTTGACCTTGACATCTAGCCACTTAGCTAGCAAGTTAGCAAACCAAATGCATAGCTGGTGCCCTAAGCTGGATATATATTTCTTATAGTTATACTTAACTTACAGTTAGAGATAAGCAGTGGCATAGCATGCAACCCTGCGAGACGGGGGTGCCCTCAACCCCTCCCCCCAAAATAATAAATAAATAAATACATACAGTGGGGAGAACAAGTATTTGATACACTGCCGATTTTGCAGGTTTTCCTACTTACAAAGCATGTAGAGGTCTGTCATTTTTATCATAGATTCCGTCTCTCAAAGTTGAAGTGTACCTAAGACAGAAATCCAGAAAGTCACATTGTATGATTTTTAAGTAATTAATTTGCATTTTATTGCACGACATAAGTATTTGATCACCTACCAACCAGTAAGAATTCCGGCTCTCACAGCCCTGTTAGTTTTTCTTTAAGAAGCCCTCCTGTTCTCCACTCATTACCTGTATTAACTGCACCTGTTTGAACTCGTTACCTGTATAAAAGACACCTGTCCACACACTCAATCAAACAGACTCCAACCTCTCCACAATGGCCAAGACCAGAGAGCTGTGTAAGGACATCAGGGATAAAATTGTAGACCTGCACAAGGCTGGGATGGGCTACAGGACAATAGGCAAGCAGCTTGGTGAGAAGGCAACAACTGTTGGCGCAATTATTAGAAAATGGAAGAAGTTCAAGATGACGGTCAATCACCCTCGGTCTGGGGCTCCATGCAAGATCTCACCTCGTGGGGCATCAATGATCATGAGGAAGGTGAGTGATCAGCCCAGAACTACACGGCAGGACCTGGTCAATGACCTGAAGAGAGCTGGGACCACAGTCTCAAAGAAAACCATTAGTAACACACTACGCCGTCATGGATCCTGCAGCGCACGCATGGTCCCCCTGCTCAAGCCAGCACATGTCCAGGCCCATCTGAAGTTTGCCAATGACCATCTGGATGATCCAGAGGAGGAATGGGAGAAGGTCATGTGGTCTGATGAGACAAAAATAGAGCTTTTTGGTCTAAACTCCACTCGCCGTGTTTGGGGGAAGAAGAAGGATGAGTACAACCCTAAGAACACCATCCCAACCGTGAAGCATGGAGGTGGAAACATCATTCTTTGGGGATGCTTTTCTGCAAAGGGGACAGGACGACTGCACCGTATTGAGGGGAGGATGGATGGGGCCATGTATCGCGAGATCTTGGCCAACAACCTCCTTCCCTCAGTAAGAGCATTGAAGATGGGTCGTGGCTGGGTCTTCCAGCATGACAACAACCCAAAACACACAGCCAGGGCAACTAAGGAGTGGCTCCGTAAGAAGCAACTCAAGGTCCTGGAGTGGCCTAGCCAGTCTCCAGACCTGAACCCAATAGAAAATCTTTGGAGGGAGCTGAAAGTCCGTAATGCCCAGCGACAGCCCCGAAACCTGAAGGATCTGGAGAAGGTCTGTATGGAGGAGTGGGCCAAAATCCCTGCTGCAGTGTGTGCAAACCTGGTCAAGACCTACAGGAAACGTATGATCTCTGTAATTGCAAACAAAGGTTTCTGTACCAAATATTAAGTTCTGCTTTTCTGATGTATCAAATACTTATGTCATGCAATAAAATGCAAATGAATTACTTAAAAATCATACAATGTGATTTTCTGGATTCTTGTTTTAGATTCTGTCTCTCACAGTTGAAGTGTACCTATGATAAAAATTACAGACCTCTACATGCTTTGTAAGTAGGAAAACCTGCAAAATCGGCAGTGTATCAAATACTTGTTCTCCCCACTGTACATATAGTACCAGTCAAAAGTTTGGACACACCTACTCATTTAAGGGTTTTTCTTTATTTTTTACTAGTTTCTAGAATAATAGTGAAGACATCAAAACTATGAAATAACACGTGGAATCATGTAGTAACCAAAATAGTGTTAAATCAAAATATATTTTATATTTGAGATTCTTCAAAGTAGCCACCCTTTGCCCTGATGACAGCTTTGCACACTCTCAACCTGACCTCAACCCAATTGAGATGGTTTGGGTTGAGTCGGACGGCAGAGTGAAGGAAAAGCAGCCAACAAGTGCTCAGCATATGTGGGAACTCCTTCAAGACTGTTGGAAAAACATTCCAGGTGAAGCTGGTTGAGAGAATGCCAAGAGTATGCAATTATGTCATCAAGGCAATGGGTGGCTATTTGAAGAATCTCAAATATATTTTGATTTGTTTAACACTTTTTGGGTTACTACATGATTCCATATGTGTTATTTCATAGTTTTGATGTCTTCAATATTATTATACAATGTAAAAAGTAGCAAAAAATTAAGAAAAACCCTTGAATGAGTAGGTGTGTCCAAACCTTTGACTGATATATATATATATACACAGTAATCCCTCGTTTATCGCGGGGGTTACGTTCCGAAAATGACCCGCGATAAGTGAAATCCGCGAAATAGAAAACTTTTTTTTTTTTACAATTAGCAACTATTACATGTATACAAATACAGTGACTCACGTGTAGGCCGTTTCGTCGACATTATGGGTTTAGAAGATGTTCGAAATTACAAGATAATTTGGCCAACTTAATGTAAATTTGCCAAGCTGTTTTATGTACGTACACATAACTGCACGAGACGACAAAATGATAGCACAATTCGTAGCATGTTTTGATACAAGAAGCGGGAGTGAGTTTTTAGCGAATCAGAATGCAGAGCACAATGCACCAAAAAAAAAAAAAAAATGCATTATGAAAATCCGCGAAATAGCGAATCCGCGATAAGTGAACCGCGAAGTGGCGAGGGATCACTGTATACACACACACACACACACACACACACACACACACACACACACACACACACACACAGTGCATTCGGAAAGTATTCTAACCCTTTGACATTTTGTTATGTTACAGCCTTATTTTAGAATTGATTAAATTGTTTTTTTCCCCATCAATCTACACACAATACCCCATAATGACGAAGCAAAAACAGGTTAAGACATTTTAGAAAATTTATAAAAAATAAAAAACAGAAATATCACATAAGTATTCAGACCCTTTACTCAGTACTCTGTTGAAGCACCTTTGGCAGCGATTACAGCCTCGAGTCTTCTTGGGTATGACGCTACAAGCTTGGCACACCTGTATTTGGGGAGTTTCTCCCATTCTTCTCTGCAGATCCTCTCAAGCTCTGTCAGGTTGGATGGGGAGCGTCGCTGCACAGCTATTTTCAGGTCTCTCCAGAGATGTTAGATCGGGTTCAAGTCCGGGCCACTCAAGGACATTCAGAGACTTGTCCCGAAGCCACTCCTGCATGGTCTTGGCTATGTGCTTAGGGTCCTGTTGGAAGGTGAACCTTTGCCCCGGTCTGAGGTCCTGAGCGCTCTGGAGCAGGTTATCATCAAGGATCTCTCTGTACTTTGCTCTGTTCATATTTTCCTCGATCCTGACTAGTCTCTTAGTCCCTACCGCTGAAAAACATCCCCACAGCATGATGCTGCCACCACCATGCTTCACCGTAGGGATGGTGTCAGGTTTCCTCCAGACGTGACGCTTGGCATTCAAGCCAAAGAGTTCAATCTTGGTCTCATCAGACCAGAGAATCTTGTTTCTCATGGTCTGAGAGTCCTTTAGGTACCTTTTGGCAAACTCCAAGCAGGCTGTCATGTGCCTTTTACTGAGGAGTGGCTTCCGTCTGGCCACTCTATCATAAAAGCCTGATTGGTGGAGTGCTGCAGAGATGGTTGCCCTTCTGGAAGGTTCTCCCATCTCCACACAGGAACTCTGGAGCTCTGTCAGAGTGACCATCGGGTTCTTGGTCACCTCCCTGACCAAGGAACTTCTCGCCCGATTGCTCCGTTTGGCCGGGCTGCCAGCTCTAGGAAGAGTCTTGGTGGTTCCAAACTTCTTCCATTTAAGAATGATGGAGGCCACTGTGTTCTTGGGGACCTTCAATGCTGCAGATATTTTTTGGTACCCTTCGCCAGATCTGTGCCTCGACACAATCCTGTCTCGGAGCTCTACGGACAATTCCGTCGACCTCATGGCTTGGTTTTTGCTCGGACATGCACTGTCAACTGTGGGACCTTATATAGACAGGTGTGTGCCTTTCCAAATCATGTCCAATCAATTGAATTTACCACAGGTGGACTCCAATGAAGTTGTAGAAACATCTCAAGGATGATCAATGGAAACAGGAGGCACCTGAGCTCAATTTCGAGTCTCATAGTAAAGGGTCTGAATACTTATGTAAATAAGGTATTTCTGTTTTTAATTTTTAATACATTTTCAAACATTTCTAAAAACCTGTTTTCGCTTTGTCATTATGGGGTATTGTGTATAGATTGATGAGGAAAACAATTAATTTAATCCATTTTAGAATAAGGCTGTAACGTAACAAAATGTGGAAAAAGTCAAGGGGTCTGAATACTTTCTGAATGCACTGTATATATTTATTTATTTTTAAAAGGTATTGAAAATCATACCATCGGTATTTCTAAGGTATAAACGGTATATCGCCCAAGCCTAACAACAAGCACTTATGCAGGCAGAGAGAGAGTTAAAGTCCCAGTCTCACTTCCTCTACTCTGCTTGTGGCAGAACACACACACTATCTGAACACAGTCTGCCTCAGACACATCAGAGGTCATGTGTGTTTGTACAGGTACTATAATGACTGTGTGTGTGTGTACCTGGGGGTTGTCCATGTACCACAGCAATGTGTTGCGCTGTGTGTCCAGTATGAAGTAGCGCCTCTGGAAGCGACTGCTGCCCTCCTTCTCCTCAATGTCCAGGAAGCCACACACACGGTTCTGCCTGTCCATGTATGGCATACTGTTCTCTGCTACCACATATCACTGAGAGATGGAGAGCGGGGGGAGTCTATTTGTAAGACATTTTAAAAGAATCTTGCACAGTAATGACACAGGCTTCCAATTCTTCAGAAAACCCAAATCCTCTTTTAGAGCAACAGTAACAGTGAATTTTCCCGGAGGAGAGCGAGCAGTCATGTCACACACACACACACACACAGACAAACACTCACACTCAGCAGTTTTTCATGTGACGTTATTGAGGCAGCCTAGCAAAGCCTAAGGCCTCAGGCTGTGCTGCTAACCAGAGGATTCACCACAGCTGGAAATTACAGACTACTAAACCAATCTGCATACAGGCACATTTCATCTGGCCAGATAGGGGGGGGGGGGGGGGCAGAGAGAGAGGAGGGGAGAGATATAGAGAGTGAGATGAGAAAGAGGAGAGGGGGGAGAGAGCAAGAAAGAGAGAGAGGAGGGAGGGGCAGGTCAGAGAGTGACAAAGGAATGAACATTAGAGGACAACCTAACCTAACTCTGTCAGAGAGACTGACTGACATGCTGAGGACATGACATCATCCTGACTGATGCCTGTCTGTACAGTAGTTGCACCTACCTGGTCACATGAGCATGTTAACACAACTTTCCCTCTGGAACAGCAATATGAAGAACATTTTGTGTTCATGGTGTTGTTTTAGGAAAGAAAGAAACACACAGACACACACAAAGCCAGTGCTTTGGCATCAGAAAAAGCATATGTTTTGGGCATTTAGCATAGCAGGAGTGACCAAGTCTGAAATTGGCATAGATGGCAAACTTTAAGTAGTTCTCAATCTTTACAAGCTATGGGACATTTGATGCATTTAAACTTAGCATGACATTATTAGTGGGTTAAAAGTGATTTGTGTGAGATACCATGCTGTTGGTTCTATGTAGGCCTTATTCGAAGGGCTGGCAAAGTTATCCTATAATTGTGTAACCGACAATTATGAACAATAACGCTGAACAACAAAAACTGTCAGAATCGTTTTAATACATGTATTTTAGGAAGGGGAGGTTCAACTTTATATCGGTAGTCATTTTACCAGCAGAATGGCACGGTCGGGAGGAGAAGCTTCATTTCCAAAAGTTCAATGCGGTCAAAACTAGTTTTGACACAGGGGTGTGTGTCACCAAGCTGTGATATTCATTAGGCAAGTAGTAGCTAATTTTCAAAAAATGCATTAAAAGCTCAAAACAATTAAGACAATAACCGTGTCCATTTGCATGACAATTAGTCGTCACCCAAAATCGTCACAACCCTACTGATTCGTGTGAATCATAAAGTTTAGTTTTTTCATGAACAGCTATTATTCCCCAAACAGAATGAGGAGCAGATACAGAGATAGAAGCTACATATGAATACTATAGGAGGGCAATTCCACGGTGCATTCCAACAGTGCAGATGTCATGTTTGGTAACAGAATGACAGCACAAACAGCACAAAACGTAATTCTGTTACCAAACTTTGTTCTTCAAGTAAAGTAAAATGTTCTGTACAAATGGTTAAAAATAGTCATTGTGCATAGAGTTGTATGGTTCGTTTCGCTTTGCAATCATTGGTTTTTCTTTGACATACATTTTTAAGTGAAAATTCGGAGTATTAGTGTGACTGTTACCATGGAATTACCCAGGAGGATCAGATACACGTGGAACCCATCCTGTATCATAGATAGGCCTACATTATTATTTGATCAGGTGCTCAGTGTGCTATGTTCTGTAGGCTAGATACTCTGTCAGTTATTTCACTAGTTGTCGACTTGTATGGAGAATTACTTTTCTGCCCAATAACGCATGATTTAGCATCAGGTTGAAATGACATGAAAGTTTAATGCTGAAACGATCTGCCGACCACAACTCTAGGTATGTTTGCCACACCTAGGCTACTCCCCCCAACACAGACAGATAGACACACAAAACTTACCCGTTTCACTGTTCAGTGTGCGTGCGTCTGAAGTGTCGCAAAGAGTAAAACACGTCTCATCATGGTAAAAGTATAAACCTGCTGTTACTCTTATTTGACATCTGTCAACTATCTGAAATGTAAGTATGCGGTCAGCTGAGGCTTCTTTCCTGTTAGGGCTCGCGATTAGAATGAACCAACCCCGGAAATGATCTAGTCTCTTGTCGTTTTTTGCAGTAGCTACGGTATAAGGAACTGAGTTGAGATTAACTCTTGAATTTGTCTGGCTGGAGCAAGGAGTTTGGGTAGCCAGACAACTCTTGACTGGCGCTGCCGCTGATCTCTCTGTTGTTGCTTTGGGTTTAAACTTTTTTCATGGCTGTCAATGTGCTGGGTCATCAAACATTAATAATAGGTGTACCACTCACTTCATAATACACTGGTATGCTTCCTGTACATCTGATATACAGTCAAATAGATTGTGGACCGACCTATACTTTATTTAGATAACCTATAGGCTATTACCAGCGCTTGACTTGGACTGAAATAGGTGCCTGTAATCATGTTGGGTGCCGGTACTGTTTGTATTTAGGTGCAGGAGCTCCACAATACTTTTGAGCTAATATTCTATAAGAGGAACAGGAGCTCAAGCAGTAGAACATTTGAGGTGCTGTAGCCGGTACTCCAGTGAGCTCCTGCCCAAGTCAAGCACGGCTATTGCATAGGTTAGTTTTACTTGTTCAATACATTTTTAACCATGCATTTATGATCAATTCTCACAAACAGAGCGATATTCTAACCATTTATCTCTTCCCTTCTTATTTCCATTTTTATCTACCATTCTTTCTCCTTCTCTCAGCTGGCAGCATTGCTATGGGAACTGGGTCAAAGTCACATCATATGATTCAGGATCTGTATGTCTCTCTCTCTTTCTCTGTCTCTCTTTCTCTCTCTCTTCGCTCAGCTGACTGGTTGGTATTTATGTGGGCTCAGACAGAGGAGGGAGAGAGACATGGTCTCACATGAAGAAGAGGCTAACAGGGAAATAGAAGTTACAGTAACAGTCTGCTATGGTGCGCAGAGCTACTGTGACTAGCCTAAATGGGGTAGATATTCTGTCTGAATGGGGTGATTAGTGGGTACGATCTGTATCCTTGTCTAGACCAGTTGTTCTCTCTGCCTCGTCCAACTGTCCTTACCTGAGTCTGCCCTGCACAGAGTGATTATACAGTCTGAGACAGAGACAGAGAAGAAGTCAGCGTTCGCTAGAGACAGACTGGAGGTGTGAGGAGGAAATGTGTTTGTGTGTGTTCGTGCGTGTGTGTGACCTCACGTCCTGTCCTAGGTCAGAGGTCACAGAAACGGAGGAGGGAGTCTAAACCTATGGTCTCAACATTTCCACTGATGCCACCCACTGACAGTCTCACACTGTAGCACGCTACACACACACACACACACACACACACACACACACACACACACACACACACACACACACACACCACACCAACAACAAAACCAACTGCAGAGAGATAGAAAGGAAAAGTAAGGGTGTAATAGCATGTTTATTTATAAATAAGTATTGAAGCATAACAATATGAACAATGGAAGAAGTACCAACATGTCTCTCAGTGTGGAGTTTCTGTTTAATTCATGATGATTGGAGTCTGAAGGCTGAAGAGTGCCCTAATGTATGTGGTCACTGTGGGAACGAGCCTAACACTAGGCCTACTGTGAGTCCAGCACTAACCAACAATGTCATACATACACACAGGCTACCATGGGTGACATTTTAGATCTGCCCCAGGTATAAAGCTCTAACCCCAGCCTGGCTCACATCCACCCAGAGTCTACTGACACTACAGGAGTTCCATCCTCTCTCTTATCATATCAAACATCTCAGTTTGTATATATGACTGGTTATGGACACACATCTGCATTAGTGACAGAGCTAACTCATATAGAGTGATACATCAGTTCCATCTGTCTTTAAACTTGGTTGAATGTGCTTTTATGACCCCCACCACAGGCATCACACACTCTCTTACTAATCCCTGTATGATTCACCAAACCCTGGCTCATCAGCATTCTGCAGACTCACTCCGAGGGGATGGATCGGTAAATGGTTTTGTGGTAGGGCTGTATGAAATAATGAATAAATGGATAGATGGATAGTAAAGGGATGAATCTATTTATGATCAGGAGTTTAGAACCTGCTGAGGGCCATGCGGAGCATCAGAGCCCCAAGTAGCAGAACAGGGCTGGCTCCCAGGGCCTCAGCTGTGTTTTTGTGCTCCCCGTGCTGGTGGCCCTTATGAGGCCCATTGCAGTCATCAGTGAAACAACACTCCATCTTGGCTCCAGAGTTGCCACTGTGGGCCTTATCACAGAACGCTTTGTAGGAGCATGACTTCATCACCGTGTCTGAAACACAGGAGGGAGAGAGGAGTGGGGAGAAAGGGAGAGAGGGAGGAGAGAGGAGTGGGGAGGGAGGGAGGAGAGGAGTGGGGAGGGAGGGAGGGAGAGAAAGAGGGGAGGAAAGGTGTGAGGAAGGAGATTGTTTTATTGTCCTCTTCGGAGGACACATCTAGTTTTGTTTTTACAGCTTTTCAGCTACATATACATACATTTTACATACACATTTTACATACATGGTACTTTTATATATAGCAATCACATAACAATAATGCATTACCGAACATAAACTCTTTAATCCCACCCCTCAGCCAATCTCAGCCCATCCCACCTATCACCATAGACCACCCTCGTTTGGTTTCCATGTGCCATATATTTTTCAATTGTGCTGTGATGTTTTACATATATTTGGAACCTTTCTAATTGCATAGTATGCACAGATTGTGAGCTAAAGATGAAAACCTTTCCTACGAGTATCATTATATTATTGATTGATTGACTATTGCTTTCCAAATCGCTCAACACTGCTATTTGTAGGTTTAATTTAAGTGAATGTTGTGATTTTTTTTAACCATTCATGAACCTGTGACCAGAAACAAGCTACATAGGGGCAATACCATAATAAATGATCCTGTCTCTTCGCAGCAAAATCTACAGAGCTGAGATTGTTGTATGCTCCATATATATAGCATTCTGTTGGTTGCAAGAATTTTGTATAATAATTTACATTGAAAAACTCGAAGTGTTGAATCAAGTGTTGTTTTTTGTATCAGTTCAAAAACCATGTGCCATGGAATCGGTACATCAAAAATCTCTTCCCATTTATTTTGCAACATGTATGGAGCAGCTGTACAAGGAGAGTTCGTTTTATTTTATATTTCAACCCTGTTGAATCATGGCTTCCTACTCTTCTCCTCTTCCTTTCATCTGCCCTTCTTCGCCCTCGCCCTTCCCATCTACCCACCAACTCCCCCCCCACTCAGACACAGAGGGTTGTGGTTGATAAAAGCTGCTGAGAATTTATCCAGAAACCTGAGAGATGAGGACACAGTGATTACAGGGCACGGAGAGAGCGGGAGAGCGACCGCTGACAAAAGAGAGAGCAATACGTACATATCTACTCTATTATCGAATTTGCGTGGTTATTGATTTAGTGTGTGATATAGTATAGTAGCATAAAGACTCATGTTTATTTAGCTTTAAAATCTGTTTTGTACAAGATGTGTTCAAGATGTGTTCATATCAGTTCCACAGTAGCTAGAACACTGATAATGGGGGGAATGATGAAGTCTAAAAAGTATACCTTGCAGATCTTTGCTGAATTTAATATTTTTGCACTCTAATCATTTCAGATATACAGAAGTCCCTATAGGAGGCAGGGTCTAGGGGTCGATGTGGATTTCGGCACTTGTATGTCTGTGCTCTATTTCCAGCAGTGTATAGTCAAAGATAGTTCATCTGTGTCGTTTTCAATGGGAGCAAATTAATCATAGTTGGCAGAACAAGCAAGAAGGTGGGCAGAGCCAAGCACGAGCTAGCGAGATCCTATTGGCGCGTTCTATCAGGTATTTGCATATTTTCATTAGGGAACGCTATCGCTGTGAAGTGAGCGTGTGCTATAACTCATTTCGCCCTAGCACTCCTTGTAAACAACGCCATTTGTAGAAACTTTGGCAAAGGGTCACGTCTACAAAACTTAGTGCACTCTGTTCGTAACATATTTTAGTTTTGGGAACAGAAAACTGAATTGAGAGCTTTCCTTAGATGACAAAATCTGCAGAATGTTGGCCCAGATCTATCTCGCGCCATTCTACACTGCATGCCACTGGGCTTCCTCTTCGCACCATATTTGGTGGGGAGTGGAAATTCTATCCGGATGCTTCAGATTTATACAGCCGGTGAAACATCTGGCTCCTTGTTCCATCTGTGGTGTAGTGCTGATTGTGTAGTGCTGATGGTGTTGCCACAGAGTTTCTAAACCCAGAGGCGCAACATTGCGAGACTTTCGAGAACACTTGCGAAACAGACCAAGCCGGGGTTTGATAAGTCAATGAGAGAAGTAAAACATTCTTCCTTAGTTGTTAATTTTCTCAAAATCTTAAGGCACAACCTAGATGTCTTAACTAGTCGATATTATTTATCCAACCTCGTGATAGTGACAAACTGATACGTTTTCATTTTCGTCAAAAACAACTTTATATCGAAGAAGTTCCTTTGATTTGATTGCCAGCACAGGCGCAGTTCGGCGCGAGACAACCGTTGGACCGCCGACGTCTTTCTACGCATGAGCCTTTGAAAAAGAAAAGGAGAGCCGCACACTCTAGGAGCTCAGATGCAATAATTTAATAACCAACGTTTCGACAGACAAGCTGTCTTCCTCATGAGCCTACCTAACCAACGTCGCCTTGACATTGCCTACAAGTGTGATCGGGGATTTCTATTGGAGAAGCAGTTTTAGCCTATCTTCATACTGTACTGTCTTTGGTGGTGCTGTCCTCCACTACAACCAGGAAGATCAACTGACTCCTAGAACTAGCCTGACATCTAGTGGTAGAAAATAATGCTGCACGCTTTGGTCATGAAAGTAATTTGTGGGTGTGTACTTACTATGTCCTGTGATGGTGGAGCAGGCGTCAGCGAATTGAGGGCAGGTGGTGGATCCTTGTTTAGTACAATCATCCTCATTGGACGCTACGCATGAGTGACACTTCAGTGCGTGACCTTTAGACATGGAACAGGAGAGAACGTCTGAGATGAGACTAAGCAGCATGTACCAACACACACAGACAGACAAGCAATCCCTCTGCAAGAGGGTTGGATCGAGGCTACCTCTCAACATAACCCTAACTCTCAGTCTCAACATGCACACATTGTCCCTGAGTAACTGGGAGCCCATAAATACAAACTGATATCTGATAATGTACAGAGCAACTCCAAGGCTGTGTCTGTGACCTAACCCAGACTGGCCCTGTCCATGTGTCCTGTCCTGTCAACCCCTCTGGCTTTCATGAACAAATAAGAGCACACTGAAACCCACTGCCAGCCAGCCAGACAGAGAGACAGACAAGTAAACACAGCCCTTCACTTCAAGGCACAACCCTTACCAATATGATGACTAAAACAAAATAAACTGAAATCTGACCCCCTGGTACAGTTAGGGTTAGTGTTGACCTATGGCTAGGGTTAGTGTTAGCATCAGTTACTCTCATTGGGTCCCAGACTCTTCTGTGAGTTATGTGATCCAACTAAGCTCTTGACATTTTGTTTGACACCCACCAGATAAACAACCCAACATTTCTAACCTGATTACATCTTTTAACATTGACCCAGTAAAGACTATATATTCAGACCCACCGTTTGAGAATCAGAGCCCCCTTTAAAAAAAACGTATAACCCCTTATAAAACCCAGAATCCCCCAGATGGTCCCCCTCTAGTTGCTCAAATAACCCTGCTACTACATGTACAGAGAGACTTACTGTGGCAGGCCAGGCACACCAACATCAGCAGAGCCAGGACAGCCTTCATAGTGCCGGATGCACGGTGTGTATCAGTGTACGTTTGGGAGTCCAGTACTGGAGTGGGAGCAAAGAGGAGGTAAACGCAGAGGAGAGAAAAGAGAAGGGGGGTGGGGGTGTCTTGGGGCAATAACGTCTTAGCCCTAATCCCTATCAACCCTGCACACCCAGCACCCTTTGTTATTGTGTTAATGGACTTACCCAGGGTAGCTTTGACAGGGTCAGGTATACTCTCAGTACTGTTGTCTGTACTGTATTCACTCACTCACTCACTCACTCACTCACTCACTCACTCACTCACTCACTCACTCACTCACTCACTCACTCACTCACTCACTCACACACTCATTCACCTTTACGGGCATCACACACCCCCATACAGTATGCTGTCTAAGTGATCAGAGAAATAATACAACCACACTAGGTTGTCACAGATCATTCTCCCCAACTACAGGGAAATTCAACCTACAATGTGTCACTTGCATGCACTTGCCCTCTAACTCAAGGTCAGAGTCTCATGACATCCATTTCGCTCTGTATATGTGTGGCTGTGTGAGTGCATGTGTCTATATTTCTGTGAGTGTGTCAGACAGAGGACATAAGTGTTGTGTCAGGGGATGTTAGGTCTGAGAATAAGAGGATAAAGCAGACATGGTGACGCCTTTCACGCTCTTCTTTGTTCAGCTGCTAGTCCAGGGCTAGGCTGCGGTTCCCTCTGGCAGAGACTGAAGATGCCAGAGACTGAGGATTCAGTTAAGTCAGTGCTTGTAGCTGTGATGTCAGACCCAACCCGTGAAGCTGTGATGTCAGACCATACCTGTGAAGCTGTGAACAAAGAAACTCTCCTGCACACAGAAGCCATGAGAATACACTTCTTTATTACTACAGTCTTGTTTAATCAGGACACACACTGCATATACCGTATTAGTCAACATAGTCAGTACAGTACAACTGTGCGTTTCTTATTCCCACTTTACAAATATTAATGACAATTCAAAAAGGGATCATCAGTGATGTACATAACGTAAAAAAAAAACAATATTGTCTAACGAAACCTTCAATGAAGCTGGAGGTAACACAACTGCAGAATGGCACAAAGATGTGTATGATAGACACTCAGGCGTGTGTGTGTGTGTGCATGCATGTGTGCATGTTATACTTAAGCAATAAGGCCCGAGGGGGTGTGGTATATTGCCAATATATCACGGCTAAGGGCTGTTCTTCTTAAGCAGAATGCCTGGACACAGCCCTTAGTCATGGTATATTAGCCATATATGACAAACCCCCGAGGTGCCTTATTGCTATTATAAACTGGTTACCAACGTAATTAGAGCAGTTCAATTAAATGTTTTTTCATACCCGTGGTATATAGTCTAATATACCACGGCTATCAGACAATCAGCATTCAGGGCTCGAACAATCTAGTTATAACGTATCTTGTTTAACTATGGCATTCACAGAGTAGAATGGCAGAGAGGGAACTAGTACCGTGAGGCGGTGTGACGCTCTCCACTGGGGGAAGAAGAGTATTTAACAGAACCAGTTCAGCTGAGAACAGTTAAGCAGTGAATAAGATAAACGTTATCTTTCTATGCCACTAAATAGGTGCTGCAGTAAAACACAGTAGTTTCGTCCCAAATGGCACCCTATTCCCTATATAGTGCACTACTTTTGAACAGGGTCCATGGGAGCTCACATAATCCTGGAACAGTTCTCTCTACCTCCATGTCATAACATTTCACACCTGGACACTACAGGTGCTGTGCATGTCAGTGGCCAAAGGGGAACATGAGCAGGATATTCTAAGCATTTTTTATTCTGAACAACCAATAATAACAGCCAGTCATTAAAACACTCTTCCAGTTTACAGTATTTGTTTGTACATATACAAAATATATAGTCTTTGTATTAAATTCACCATTTCCAGATTTCCAGTAACTGAGTATACTACTCTCTGGTCCAACACACTGGCCTGAGACAAACACTAACCAGGTGGAGTTTAGGACAGTGGGAAACCCTCCCCTGTGCTGTTGTGCTGGAGGTTATCTAAACCTGTCCAAGACCGCACAGAGCAGAATATACAGTAGACCTACAGCTCCTCTTCCTCTGCTAACACAAGGCCTCATATAGACAGGAGAAAAGCTTTATATTTCCCAGGACAACCCCCCACACGACCCCTATCAATAGCAGTGCATCCTAACCCTGACCCTACGCCCATATCCCCCCTCCTTATAATAGTGCAGTCATACAGAAGGGTTAAACACATCTCACCCCTGATCTCTAATCCCTGACTGTCCTAGAGCCTAGAATGTCTACCTGGTCCTGCCCTAGTCTCCTAGTGTTCAGAATAAATACCCTATGTACAGTACATCTCAGCAAGGGTGTTTTTTGTTTTGGGGTTTATGTATATAATCTATGAATAAATGCTCTACAAAATGTTACCATTAGGTAAATAAGCACAAATCTATGCAACGCCAAGACAGCACATTATATTAGTGTTACAGGACAGAAAGACAGACGGATGGAGGGAGTAAGGGATTTGGTCTTGCGTGGCGAAAACGACCAAAACAAAAACAGTCCACATGTAACACAGGCTCTGGCTCAAATGACACCCTACTCTCCATATAGTGCACTACTTTTGACCAAGAGAAATGGGTTATCATATGACATTTGACCTGTACAGCAGCATTAGGGGCAGGCGCCCCAAGGGAAAACAGAACTGTTCATTGGCTGGACACATGCACAGGGCAGGGTATGCCATAGGTTGTAGGCAGGGTTGTCTTGGCGGGTCAAGATTGAAGGATTTGGACATATGGAATCTGTCTCAGTCTGTTCTGCCCATCTTGGCGATGAGCTCGTCACAGATCTTGGTGAGCTCCTCGATTTCCTCAGCCTGTGAAAAGACAGAAGATCACGTCAGGGAGATTCAAGACTAAGATCTGGTTAGCGAAAACGCTGTGTTATGTAGAGCAAGCAGCTTTCTGTTATCATGAAGAGTTTGTGTTGTGTGTTACTTTCTGCTATGGGGCTAAATAAAAGGCATTAGCATGTAGCATTTGTGTTGTTCGTTACCTTCTGCTGCAGGGCTCTCTCCAGAGACTCCACCCTCATCTGCTCCTTCCTCAGGCTGGCGGTCAGAGCAACACTCTCAGAGCTGGCCTTGCTGCGTACCTGGGCTATGTCCTGATTAGCCCTGAGGGGAGGAATAGGGTAGATGTTTCATTGGTTAGTAGGTAGTCACAGACCCCTGTGTGTGTGTGTGTGTGTGTGAGTGTGTGTGTGTGTGTAGTGTGTGTAGTGTGCGTGCGTGATCATACTTGTCTAGTGTCTCCTCAGCGTGGAGTTTGAGCGTCTGGTATCTCTGCTCCTCCTGCTTGACTCTGGCCAGATACTCCTGAGCACACTTCTTCAACACCTCCTCATTCTACATGCACACAATGGTAGAACCACAACATTCCACATAAAAAATATACATCAAATGTGCTTAAAGACTAATGATACTCAGGTCAGACTATTCTTGACCCCTGAACTCTGACCTCTAACCTTCTTAAAGCCGTCCAGGGTGCTCTTCATGTTCTCGTAGCGGCGGAACATATCGGACAGCGAGCGTTCTACTGAGCTCAGGTCTGCAAGCGCCAACTCCTTCTCCATGGTTACAGCCTGCAAAGACTTCTGGGAGCTCATGGTGTTGCGCTGTTCGTCCTCTGAGCAAGAGAGAGTTCACACGGACGGGTCATTTTATGATTCCATGCATCGATGCCACCACTACACTGGGTATACCAGTCATTTATGGAAAGGAATGTTTGAAGAGGTTTGGTTGACCTAAGCCACTCACCAATCATCTGGGCGATGGTCTTCTCATACTCTGCCACAATCTTCCTGTGAGAGAGGAGGAACGGTTACTGAGGAGTCTCTACTAGCTAACCCTCAGTCTGTTCACAGCTCAGCACACATCACATCATTACTAGCCTCACAGTACAGTTCAGGTGACTGGTAACAGAATGGTACATGTGAATAGGGTTGGAAAATTCCTGGAACTTTCAATAAATTCCCTGGTTTTCCCCAAATCCCAGCTGGAGGTTTCCCGGAATCAGGAGGGAATAAGCAGGAAATCCATACCCTCCAACCAGGATTTCTGGAATTCCAGGGAATTTATTGAAAGTTCCGTGAATTTTGTAACCCTACATGTGAGTTACCTCATCTCCATGACTTCCTGTCTGCTGTCCTCATACTTTCTCCTCCAGTCACTGGCCTCCGTCTCCTTAGTGATGATCTGACACAGGAGACAGTTATTACTGTGTTACCCTGTGTGTGTGTGTGTGTGTGTGTGTGTGTGTGTGTGTGTGTGTGTGTGTGTGGTCTACTATTTAACCTACCTCCTCTCTGATAAGGGTGAGAACAGCCGTTTTCTCCTCCTCACTGATGCAAATGGAGTCTAGTACCTCACTTCCTGTCTTCTTCTGCATGTTACTTCCTCCCAGCTTGGCGTTCTTCAGCTGGCAGGGGTCCTCATACTGCAGAGAGATGGGTGTCAGAGTAGGAGAGGAGTTCCATAAGTACCTGACTAGATGTTAGATTAATTGACCCAACCCGGATTTAGTCACAATGTCAACTGTGGCCTGTAGCATTGATACACTCTCTGTGAATGTTTCTGGGTGTGGCAGACTGGTTAAACAGTTTGTTTGTAGGTAAATTCCTTCTGTGTGTTTCACTCAATAATAAACAGATTATAGTACAGTGTAGTATAGTGTTTGTCAGAGCTGTATACAGACACAATCACTTCTGTATTGGCTCTGCCTTCATCAGCATGTCTACTCTGGTGCTCTCAGAGGAGGGGGGCTAGAGGGAGGTTAGAAGTTGAGGTCTTGTTCCTCAGTGCCGGAGCTAAGAGTGGTTATTTCCATCTCTTTCTCTAGCCCTCCTCTCGCCCTCCCCCTCAACCCTCGTCCTCCTCTTATCCTTCCCTAGATTATAACTCACACTCATATCCTAATCCTATGCGACTGATCATCTCAAGCCCTCTATCGCCTGACGAGCTGGAGATGATGACAGACAGACAAGCTGAGGAGCTCGTGGTCAGTTCATGTGCATACAGTGTGGGAGTAAAGCTACCATGGTACTGTACTGTAGTGGGCTACTGTAGTGGGCACCGGGTAGACTAGAAGACTAATCAAGCCAGTCACCATCACCATCTCAGCGGGCCAGATAGCTCCTCAACATCACTGTGAACACAGCTCTAATCCACTACTAGAACATGATGATGATGACAATGATTGTTAACACTCTACAGTAGCATCATGGCCATAATCTGTTTTCCGAAAAGTGGTCCATACAGCTAGCTCACTGGTGTCGCCATCTAGTGGTCACCAGGGGGATCACATGATTCTGACAGAACCATCATCTCTAGATCCGTCTCTGAAGTGGACCAAACTCTCTCTGGGCTATATGTGACTGTTAACAGGGCATGTTAGTGTACTCACCATAGAACAGCAGTCTGACTCCTCTGGTCTGGCTGACACATTCAGCTCTGGCCCTGGAAGAGAACAACACATCACATCAAACCTTTGTACCCTTGAATGACAAGTCACTAAAAGTGTCTGTGTCAAATATCCCACACTGTATTCTCAAAAGGAACTGTTATATTCTGTTCTGTTATTTTTCTATAATTTTTTTATTCAATTCTATTATTGTCTTTTATTTTCTGTTCTATTCTTATCTGACTCCAACCACTGGGAGCTCCATGTATTGCTGCTGTATAACCAGGAGGGGGCAGTGTATGCCTGCAGCACAGAGGACTGTCTCATAATAAACTCCTAAAATGACAGACAGAATCTACCATATACTTCTCCACAGACTAGACAGAAATAAACAGAGCAGAGCAGAACAGAGCAGAACAGACAATATAAAGGCCAACTCAACACCGTAGAACACAGCTACAGTAGAAGTGTGTCGCATGCAGCCTGAGGGACTATTGATCGGGTACAGTCTGTCTGCTTCCTGTAACACTGCTGGGGTTTTGCTTATTGGCTCATACACACATAGACCCATCAGGCATACACTACAACAAGCTGCATGAGTCATACACAGTAGGCCTAGCGGTCGAGTCAGCATGAGGGATGGTGGAAGGCCAGATTAGAGCATCTGGGGTGGAGGGGACAACAATGACCTTCCCTGTGATATTGATTAACCAACACATGGGTTCACACACACTGATGTTGGGTGTGTCTGATCCCCTTATTCCCCACTCACCGTTGTGGTCTCTATCTGCTCTGATTCCTGTCGTGCTGGCTAGCTTCTCCTCATCTGTAGCGTGACCTTTGCGATGGTCGTCGTCCTACAGGCAGGGAGGGAGGGACAGACGGTCAGAGACATTTTCATTCTGTAATTGGACAGTCTCCCTTCTCTCCCTGTTGCCGTGCCAGAGCAGGCCTGACATATACTGAGGGCTGAGGTAAAGTAGAGGACAGGGCTCTCAGAGAGGAATGTGTAGGTTAACCAGGGTCATGGTCATGTACACAGAGGAAAGGTACCAGCGTGAGAAACACTACAACACTACACTACACTACACAACACTACACTACAATCGCACGCACTCACACACACACACAAAATGTGATACAATGATGACCAAGGACAGCGATACATACACTTTTATCTGGAGCATTCAAAATCATTCTTTTAAAAATAACAGTTAAATAAAGTTTGCTGTCTTTATGGGAAAGGTATGAAGAAGAAAAGTAAAGCATTTCCTGTTTGAGAAGCTGGTTAGAACATTAACCCTTACCTTTCCGCTGGCATTCTGTAACAGAGTCTGGTTGTCCAGCTTCTTCACTTTACAGGAGTTCCTGAAGACAAAGAGCACTGAGGTCAGAGATACTGAGACCTACCCTTATGCTAACCCTACCCAGATCATAGCTGACCCACCGACCATGTGTGTCTGGGACAGCAGCCAGACCCAAAGGTAGCAGAGTCCTATTATATGATATTAGGTGAGACTGAAACGATGTTGCTCTTACTGAGTATAAAGAGAGTACAGTAGGAGGAACGGAGAGAAAGCAGAGGAGAAAGCAGACTTTATAATCAGACCTCATTCTGTGCTTTCTCTGTTGAGTTGCTCTGTGCAGCTAAACTACTAAAGCAGAAAGCAGATTAATGAAACAGGCCGTTGCCTAATAGAAATAAAGCTGAGTCACCAAACTACTGCACAGAGCATGATTACACTTGAACAGAGAGTATTGTTAAGTTGCTGTAGACTAGAGTATTGTGAGGTTCTCTCTCTCTCGCTCTTTCTCTCTCTCTCTGAGGTGAAGTAGTGATAATGTAACAGACTCTGAGATCGACTAGCCCTGCCTGAGAGAATCTGATGACCAAACGGTTATCATTAAATTTGTCTCCATGCGTCAACCTGACACAGCACTAAAGAAGTCTAGCCAGGGCTGCTCTGACTGCAGTGAGTCGTGGTGTAGGAGAACATGCATGGAGGGCAGGGAGAGGGGAGACACAGAGGCTGGGGATTTGGTCAAGGTTTAATGGCGGGCCAACAGAGACAGTACAGTATTCAGTACTTACAGCATCATACATAGTAAACGGACCTGGTCAGCAGTCCTGACGCCACACAGAAATAGACTCAGAGACAGGTAGAGTACAGAGAAAGAGCGGAGTGTGGGTGAGACATGAGAGGGGGTGGAGGGGAGAGGAGGGGGTATGATTGGTTGAGGGAGGGAGAGATAAGATCATGTGATTGTATGCTAAGTGGTCAGGCATGTGTAAGATAAGATGTCTTATATGAGTGTTACTCACGTGATGCCCGTGCTCATCCTAGGTGACTGTCTGTCTGAGTCCGGTCTGTCCAGTTCAGGGGTCAGGCTGTTGGGGTCAGAGTTCATGTTGCCGTTGGGGTCAGAGGTCATAGGAGCAAGGTCATCAACCTCGGCGGGGTCAGGGCAGTTGTGGACGGCGAGCGAGGGAGGGCGTAGGGTGCGGGGCTGGGGCAGAGGGGACGGGGAGAGACCTTCTCCTTCTCCAGGTCTGGAGGTCAACCTCAAGTTCAGGTTCTGGTCCAAACCTGCTCCACTCAGAGAAGGGGAAGAGCTATTGAGGTTGTTTAGGGCATCCTGGACTTCCTGAAGGGAGGCGGGATAAACATCCTGATTGGAGTTTCTGTCCAGGAAGAGGTGGGGCGTCAGCTGTCCGACATCTCTGGTGAGGACTGAAGAGAGGTGGAGTTAGTATCTCACGCTGGAGACAAGCAAGACAGCAACCTTTCTTTAAAAGTAGCACCAATAATGATGTTATGTCAACAACAACAACAGACATTTTAGCAGCAAATACATCTTGGGATTTATCTTTGTATGGTTTTCTTGTTTCAGATAATATACTACAGGAAATGCACATCTCTCTTCACCACTCTCTCTATAGCTTATATTTTCTCTATAGGATATTCTCTCTGTGGGAGCTCAGTTCCCACTGCATCAGGGTGAAAAACATATCTGGAATTGTGGACAGTGGCTCAAAACACAGGGAACATTTAAAGCACTGCAGGCCAGCCTCAGTCCATGTCTAGTTAAAAGCGTGACTAGCTGAGCTGCAGCTTGTGGACTGAGCTATGTTTGAATGGCCTCTCACTTCCTGTTAGAACAATCAGAATGGCTCCTGACTCCCTGCTAGAATGCTAAAATTGGTCCCTTACAATGGTCCCTGCGTCAACAAAAACCTTGTCAACATCAAACACACACACAAACACAATGGTCCTCTCCCTAAGAGCACAGTAATGCTTTGAGTGCATGTTTAGCCAGGATCCTGCTGTGTTTATAACAGCTGACGGCAATGCACTTAACATGCTTCTGTTCTCTGGGGGCTGGGGCTGCTCAATTCAGTCTGGGCTTACACTGCTGAGAGAAGAGAGGCTCTAGCCCAGTGTGTGTGTGGGTGGTTATGTCAGGGTTGCTGACTCATACTGCTGTACAGTGAGCTCTCTGTTACAGAGAAATCCAGCACAAAGCCCAGGAACGCAGAACAATGTGACTACACTGCAATTCACACACACACTTGTGATATTGCTCAATGCTCTCACTCTCTGTGTCAGATCTGTTGTGTTCAGCACTGATTTTTTATTATAGCTTCCATGATTCGTATCATCGATTGCACAGTCTGTTTTGTTGATATGTTGTTATCGAAAATCACTAGGTGATTTGGTTGTTCTATTTCTGTTGTATGTGAGATGCCACCACAGATTATCCATTATATTGACCAGATAGTCTAGTGGCCACTCATAACAATGAAAATAAATGTCTTCAAAAATGGAAGGCAGTCGGGAGGAGGCAAGATCAGGTGGGACCATTCTAGCCAATGAGAGAGCAGATACGTGTAGGCAAAATGGTTTCCACTAGTTAACATAGCATCAGTCAAAATTGGCTATATCATAAAAATTCATGAAAACAAATTTGCTTTTTTGGTTTTAAATTAAGATTAGGGTTAGGCATAAGGTTAGCAGTGTGGTTAAAGCTAGGTTTAAAATAACCTTTTAAGAAGAAGAAATGGGCGGGGTTTATGACTTTGTGGCTGTGGTAACTAGTGACGACCAGGCACAACTCCGATATAAAGTGTTTTTTCTCAAAGTTGCCAGGATGTCAATTGTTCTACTTACATCAGTACACTCGTAACAACCTAAGCATTACGAAACTTATATCAGATCAAATAAGCCACACAAGGCAAATAAGCCATTACATTTTTGACAATCTCATTGTTCTCCATACAAAAACTACTCGCTTAATGAGCGAAAAAAATTGAAAAACGCCACCTGCTGGAAAATACTGATTTTGGGCCCAGTTATCCCTCTTGCTTCGCCTCTTTCTATCTGATGTTACTCGTTTATATAAACATCAGGCTCAACTGAAAACAAGTGTTTGTTTGGTTCTTTTCCAAAATAACATTTGGCGAGCGAGGATGGCTGAAAGTATTTCTACAATATCCCTATCCTCCACCGGAGCAGTGGCCTCACACGGGCGAACCAACAATCCCATGGGACAGATGGAAGTTGTCGTTCGTGACATACATGCTAGCTACCGGACTGGATGTTGTTAGCCCTGAGAGGGAAATAGCCATTCTTCTCCACTGTCTCTGTGCCGAGGGCCAGCGCATTTTCCAAACGCTCAGGGAAGCGCACACATATGATGCAGCTGTTTAACTTATCTATGGACATTTTGCAAAGAAACAGAGTGTGCTTCTGAAAGGCTGCATTTTCGACAGCGCGCGAGTGAGTCAGTGACACAGTACGTCACTGATCTTAAAGGACAAGTATGTCAGTTTGGATATCTTCGACATGAAATTATCAGGGACCAGTTAATTGAAAGAACCTCAAGTTCACTCGTGCGGGAGAGGCTTCTCCTTGAAGAGGATGATCTGACTTTAGCAAAAGCTGTAGCCATAGCTTCCCAAGTGAAATCAGCAGCTCACTGTGCAACTAAGATCTGTGAGGCACAAACACATGCTTCCAGTGCTGTGCAACAAGCAAGCCCCACAGACACACCCTTTCCTGTCACTCGCCTGGTTGGCTTAAACCCAGCTGGATCACACCCCACAGACACGCCCCCTCCAGTCGTTCACAAAGTTGTCTCAAACTGGTCTGGGTCATGCCCCAGGCCACGCCACCTCCTGTCACTCGCACTGTTGGCTCAAACCCGACTGGGTTTTCCACTTGTACTGTATACCTGGGTGACTCCTGCATTCCTCTCGTGCTAGACAGAGGAGCAAAAGTGTTGCTCCTCAACATGGCCACCTAAGAGCAGTTCATGTCCCACCTGCCCCTCCAGCCGCCCAGCTTTAGCCTGTACGGATATGGGCGCTCAGTGATTGATGTTGTCTGCTTTATACACTCACCTGTGCAGTATGGCAACAAGGCCCTCATTTAGTTCCCCTTCCACATCACACGACAGGGCACTAATATCTTAGGTCTGGACCTGTTCACCAGCCTGGGGTTCTCTCTGTTGAACAACAGTGGCTCAACAATCCTGCACGTCGCCTCCCCATGGCCTACCCTCTTCAACGACGTAGGTGCCCTGACAGCGTTTGCACATAATAACCCTCCTCGGCCCTATGGTGACTCCAGTCATTCAGCCTCTACGGCATATCCTGCAAGGAGGTCAATAAGGATCTACACAAGCAGCTGGAGGATGGATTTATCTAGCCGGTGGACATCTTCCCATGGGTGTCCAACTTGGTCAACACAGTTCTTTCAAACTGCGCACCGACCACCAGGCCCCACAGCCTTGATGTCTACCTCTGGGTCAGGACACAAGCTCCTCCGCATGTACCGCTGGTCAGACCGATTCCAGCAGTATAACTTTAAGCTGCAGTTCAGGCCGGGCAGGGACAATGTGTTGGCCGACTTCCTTTAGCGCTAAGTTCCCCCAGACTCCACCTGTGCCCAGGTTGACTCAGATGCCCTCATCCAGCTCCTACACTCACTCTCCAAGACACAGTGTCGCACAAGAAGCTGACCCAAGAATCAGCCAACGACCCCATCTTCACGACCTTGTGGGGAAATACGTAGCCAATGGCTGGCCGGCACAGCACCCATCGGAACTCCAACCATGTGCCAGGTTCAAACATGAGCTGACATGCTGGTATGACACGTCTGGCCTGCGGAAACTGCATCGTCATACCAAGCAGGCTCAGAGGACAAGTGTTGGCCATGGCTCATGGGGGCCACCTTGGCATTGTGAAGCTGAAGCAGCCCTGCCGGGATATGACAATCCCATATGTCTGCTGTCTGAACAGGAGAATAAACATTCCCTAGCTCCAACTCTAACCAGAATCATCTGGGAGTATAGCAGGACAACCTTGCCCCTGGCCTTTAGGCCTCACCCTGTAGCCTAGCAACCAATAAACAACAGCCTCTACACAGTTTAACAGGGTACCACACTGACCAGAGCGAGAGAGAGACAGAGAGAGAGAGAGAGAGAGAGATGGGAGGGGGAGATGGGAGGGTCTATTTGATTTCTCTAAACAATCAAGCACAATAACAAGACAGGCCTCCAATTCTTCAGAAACCCTAAATTCCAACTCTGCTCAGACTTCTAACCCAGTCAACAGACGACATACATCTAATATATAGTGTTGTGTTGTGTTGTTACCGTGTAATTTCTCCCTGCGGTGCTGTAGTCAAGTAGACTATTATTATTCCTCCAGACTGAATTATCTCTCAGTCAATGTTTTATTTATGTCAGTAAGCCCAGAAATACACAGGCAGACAGCATGTGACTGGCTGCTGTTCTATAAGAGGCGAGGTTGTTATTGTCTACAGAGACAAAGGAGATTTAGTACATTAGGATCATAGAATCCCATTTTCTAAATTGCATTGTGTCCAGAACTAAGATTATGAATCCCAAACAAATGAACGAATCCAGTCCAAGACGCCACAGAGCAGTTTAACATTTTAATAGGATAATATTACTTGTCTATAAAACTCTACAATGGTCAACAACACATGATCTGTTTCTTATCACCCGTGTGTGCTGTTGGTTTGCGATGTCAGCGGCGTGCGCGGGTATGTGTGTGTTGGAGGGGCACACTTGTTCATCTTAAGCCAGTCTTTATTGGTGAAGACGCGCCAGTACTTCAGGTCTTTACAGAGCGATGGCTTTACAGAGCGATGCTAGAGTAGCTTACGACCACCTGCTATCATTGTTCCTACTGAGCAGGAGGGGTTTCGCTGACACACAGGTAGAGAGGACATCATCTCACCTGTGTGGGCAGAGTTATCCAGCTGGGTCAGGTCATTCAGCAGACCAGGAGACTCCGCCTCTGGGGTCTCAAAGTTCCCTTCTGAGTCCGAACTAGAGAGAGAGAGAGAGAGAGAGGGAGAGAGAGATTGATTACAAGTTTATATAGCACCTCCATGGTTCCAAAGTTGTGTTTGTGTGCCAGACTGAGCCAGACTGAGCCAGACTGGACTAAAGCCTTAGCTGACACAACACACCCAGATCTGTAACACACTGATCCGTTTCTTCATGTTCAAATACACACACAGTATCAGGGTCTGCTGCCTCAGCTGCCCGATTTATTTCCATGCTGTGCTCCAAAGTGTGTGTTTGTGCTCCCATGCAGTTAAATGCACATCAAACCGTCCACACACTAATGAAAAACAGCTCAGGGGAACAAAGACACAGGCTCCCGGAATACAGACAGCGCTCTCTCTCACACACACACACACACACACACACACACACACACACACACACACACACACACACACACACACACACACACACACACACACACACACACACACACACACACACACACACACACACACACACACATACACACACACATCACATCTAAACCACACAGAGTAATCCTTAAAAACACACGCACACACACACACATACAAAGCAGAGAAAGACAATCAGAAATTAAGTCCCAGCGATGACCTCTACACTGCAATCTTGGACGGTTACTTGGAAACTAGAAACTAGCACAAAAAATCCCACATCTTTAGAAAACTCAACCTCCCTTCCCCCAACTTTCCCAAACCTTCCCCCATCCCTCTCCTGCCCTTCACTCACTCAAACACACATAAAGGAAGACATATTTTCCTAAGTATCTGTGGTTCACAGGAGGCTGCTGAGGGGAGGATGGCTCATAACAATGTCTGGAATGGAGTAATGGTAAATGCCTGGATGTATAATGGAGTAAATGCCTGGGTGTGTAATGGAGTAAATGCCTGGGTGTGTAATGGAGTAAATGCCTGGGTGTGTAATGGAGTAAATGCCTGGGTGTGTGTGTGGTCACCTGACCGACTCTGCTTTTAGACATGACAACATCATCTAGTCACTGTTACACAGGGTGCAAGGGAAGACAAGAGACCATATCACAACAACATCACATCTGCTTCTCTCTCTCTCTCTCTCTCTCTCTCCTCTCTCTCTCTCTCTCTCTCTCTCTCTCTCTCTCTCTCTCTCTCTCTCTCTCTCTCTCTCTCTCTCTCTCTCTCTCTCTCTCTCTCCTCTCTCTCTCTCTCTATCTCTCTCTCTCTATATCTATATCTATATCTATCTGTATGAATAATAACAGCAAATTACCCCAAGTCATCCTGGCAGGTGGAGCCAGACACACATTCAGCCTGTTGCCATTCACACACAGTGATCTCTCAGCACATGTACACACGCAATCTCTCTTTATTTCTCTCCCTCTCTCACGTGTGCCAGACAGGCATCAGGCATCACACACACATGCACACGAACAAACTCACTCACACACACACACCTGTAGCCCACTTACTTTTCCCCTTCATCATTGGTTCCGGGGGCTCCCTCCTCCCCCTCATCCTCCCCTCCCCCCCGTACAGCTGACCAAGTCCATTTAGCCCACTGGACCGGAGACAGCAAAGACCCCCAGGACATCTCTACAGAGACGCACCAGCTCCTCTATACAGTATACAACCCTCTGGGTCCGGTTCCACCCCACTGGGTTTGATGATACTCCTGGTTGTAGTGGTCTGGTCCCTCACGGTTCTACAGTTCCACTGTCGGTTCTGTTACTCCCTCACAGTCTGGTTCTCCTCCTCTGGCTCTGGATTGGACTCCTCTCTTAGTTCTGCTGCTCCTCTGTGAATCAGCAACAACACACCAGAGGAGAGGAGAAGAGAGGAGGAGTGACTCACCACAGTCTGTTTACTTGTATCTCTCTCTCTCTTTCTCTCTCTCTGTCTTGGAGCTTATCCGTGTGTTCTCTCTCTCTCTTTTTGGAAGGATGTTGATTTTATGGCATCTCTTGTTTCTCTCTTCACTTCCTCCTCTTGCTTTCGTTTCCCAGACTGCTCTTCTGCATTGTTGATCCCGGAACAAACCGTGACAAGAGGCTGATAGATCTGAGATGACGCTGTTGGTTTCTTACTCTCTGTTAGATTACAGATTACTGTAGCATCAGCAGCCTCTTCTCCCTCTGCTTCTCTCTGTTTTCTCTCAGCCTCTCTCTCTCCATCCTCCGCTTCGACTCTGAATGCCAGAGCAGTGATCAGCTGGCTGCCAGACTGCTCCCTCCTCCCTCCTTCTTCCTCTCTCTCACCCTCCCTCGCTCTCTCTCACTCCCACCCAAAATGAGTTTGCCTAGCCCTCCACCCTCCCCCCTCCCCCTCCCCCAACTCTCTCAGGCTACTCTTGTGATAGAGGAGAGATTCAAGGCGTGTTGTGAGAGGAAGGAGAAGAGAGGGAGGGGAGAGGGGGGGGGGGGGGTCAGACCTGACCAGACATACTCTGTTAGAGGACAGGAGATCTAAGAGACCAATAGATAGAAAGATGTGTCTGCAGAGGATCAGAGTGAATCAGGCTGGGTGGACAGACAGCAACTCGGAGATGCACTCTATCTAGTCTATCTAGATAAGAATACCAACATTTAGTTTGCTCTTGGGCTGTATCTGTTCCACTGACTCTTCTATCCTCTGTCATTACAGTCTAATTAATCTGTAACATCAAAACAAATCAAACGTGAACATTTAGTTCCTCCTATGAATATACAACCACCCTCCAGAGCTCTTTATACTCTCTATGGAACGTGTCTGTAACTGTGTGACCATGGCAGGCTGTGGTTAGTCAACCATGTGGAAACTCTCTCCTTCCCAACTCTGCAGACACACACACACGCACACACACACACACACACACACACACAAACGTGCACACATACAACCACACACCTAGAGGCTGTTCATGATGGCTTACATAACTCACAAAACATGCACACAGACACATTGACACACAGCACTGAGTACCAAATGCACTGACACAACTCTGATTAACATGCATCCCACTCACTGAAACACATGCACACACACACACACACACACACACACTAACTAGGCCAAGCCAAATGAGATGTGTTGTATGAGAAACATCAACCATGACTAATCTAATAACTATTTGCTTCTGTAGAAGAGAGGAACGAGGTACGGATAAATAGAGGTAACAGAGGAAAGCGTCTCTTGTATTTTCCCTTTACTCTGCTCTCTTCTGCTCAGACGTGATCAGAAAGCTGGAGAACCCACAAACACACACAGAGGGTACCCTGTCTCTCCCTCTCTGTCACTCTCTCTTTTTTTCTCTCTCGCTCTCTCTCTCTCAGACCGAACCCCATTTAGCACAGCTCTCTGTGACCGTTTGACAGAGAGAGAGGGAGGGCAGAAGAGAAAGAGAGTGAGTGTGTACTGTGTATATATTTTGGTAGGATTTGTTGTCATAGCTATCAGGGATGTATGGCATTGTTTCCCTCCCCTCTCTATTGTCTGTTGTCTGTAGCAGGCAGGACAGACCTGTTAGGGGAGCTATTGAACCTTATCACCTCTCTCTACACCTGTATAGACCAGGGTCCACCCACACTAGCCTGGTCAACTAGCCAAACCGCTATGCTCACGTTTCGTTTCAGAATGTGAGCTATCGTGAGATTAGGCTGGTTTCACAAGGCTACACCCACACTACAGGTAGGATAAACAGCCCACCTCAAACACAAGTACACATGAACGCACTCACACACAAACACAGGAAGGTCTTAGTCACCTTGACTCACAGGCAGGAAAATGTGCAGAGGAGAGGAAAGAGAGGGAGATGAAGAGAAAGAGAGACTAATCAGGTCTTATGTAACTCCTTTCCTTGGACCCAGAAATAGCTCAGCACACATGGAACACTGGCGGAGCTACAGACACACAGCCATGCTCTAGCCTCGAACCCATGCAGTTGGGAACACACTGAGACTTCTAGAACCACACCAAAGATCTCACTCCAGGAAGCTTCAGAGAGCTTAAGTCAAACAGAGGCTATTTCTGAAGAGTAAATAAGGATATTATCATTTCTAACAGACATACAAGCCCAGTCACATTTGTGACTATAGACAACTTCAGCTTCCCTGAGTAAACACAGAGGGTCACATTCCCTGTGTCTGGAATCTTTGTCTCCATCTGAACCCAGACCACATTCTAACTCTATCCCTCTGGACCCAGACAACTAGCAGACCACTGTGTGTGTGTGTGTGTGTGTGTGTGTGTGTGTGTGTGTGTGTGTGTGTGTGTGTGTGTGTGTGTGTGTGTGTGTGTGTGTGTGTGATTGTATGTGTATGTGTGTGTGTGTGTGTGTGTGTGTGTGTGAGTGAGTGTGTGTATGTGTGTGTGTGTGTGTGTGTGTGTGTGTGTGAGTGTGTGTGTGTGTGTGTGTGTGTGTGTGTGTGTATGTGCGGGCAGCCTAACCTATCATCCTTTTCATTCAATTAAGAATTGACTGAAAGTCACAGATGTGTGTGTGGTAAGGAGCTAAATATAACTAGTATAAACATTCATAGTAGCCACATAGCGACATGAGGAGTGATGTGATACCATATGAGATAATTGAGCACGCTAGGACACACATATGTGGATTACCAAAAGCATTTTAATCCCTCCAATGATTCTGAATAAAGATCTGAACAGTAAGTTTATCTTTCCTATAATAACATGGCTGCCTGGTGAAGCTGTGGCACTGAGACAAAAACAGGCGCAACAGTCCCATCTGGTGGTAAACAGAAGTCAACACATCTCTCTGGCCCTACTTGGCAAGTACATACTGTAATGTTGCGATGAACCGCAGCATTGGTTTCGTTTCGTTTATTAGGATCCCTGTTAGCTACTGCACATGCAGCAGCTACTCTTCCTGGGGTCCTCATAAAACGTACAAATACATGACAAAGTACAGAACAGTTATAGACAAGAACAACATAAGATATTACATTACATTCAAAATACAAATAAAATAAGAGTTATATATAGGAAAGAAACCAAGAGACATCAAAAATACTATTTACACACTATTCATATATACATATTCATATTCTTATATTCAGTACAGGTAAATTAGATATTTAGAAAGAGGAGAGGCGCTGTTTTTTAAAGCTAAACTTGCTTTTTGCCTGAGTAACCTCTGGTGTCAGAGCATTCCATGCTGACATGCCTCTATACATAACTGAGCGACGCATTAAATCAGTTTTTTGGTTTGGGTACTGTGAAGAAACCCATAGTGGCGTCTCTGGTGGGGTATGTATGTCTGTTTGAAGTGTATGCAAATATATTATACAAGTGGTTAGGCATTTTCAACACACACGTTTCTTAAAAAGACTAGAAGAAAAGTAGTCCATTTCTCTTCAACCCTCAACCATGAAAGACTATCATGCATGTTGTTGATGTTAGTTCTGTGTGTGCAGTTAAGGGCGAGGCGTGCTGCTTTGTTTTGAGCCAGCTGCAGCTTTGCTAGGTCTTTCTTTGCTGCACCTGACCATATTACCAGACGGTAATCAAGATCAGAGCCTAAATTGTATTGATGATACAGTCCCCTATATTTTAAGGCCATACAGTCCTACACCCTCAGCCCCATACAGCACTATAACAGCTTCATTCAAGGTAAACTCATGGTGTATACACAGGACCCTTCTCTGCCTTGTGTGGGAGGAGCGCTCCACCTAGAGGCGATCAGTGGTATCTGACCAGGTCTCTCTCACTGTCAAACTGGAGAGTGTTGACTGGGATACTCAGTCTCAGGCAGGCAGGAACACACAGGAATAAGAGAGAAACACTGCTTAGAGTGCTGAGTACACTCACCCTCTCAGTCTCTATTAGTCCATGATTCTCTCTGTCTCTCTCAGTCCCCCTCAGGCAGTAAAAGCCATGTTTGAATACAGTTCTACAACGATGTACTGAATGGAGTAATGCTTTAGCCTAGTTTCTCTCATGCTTTTGTGTGTGCATGTGTGTGTAGAGCATCATCATGACAGGTGTTTAAATTAAACAGAGGAGAAGTGTAGTACAGCGCCG